GCAAGCATTTCCCTATTAAAATTCACCAATGACTCCCAATTACCTTTAGGAAAAAGTACTACCTTTTTAAAAGCATATCATATAAGGCTCTTCACAATCTTGATTATGTCTCTCTTTCTCTGGTCTCAACTCCTCCCATCCCTTAACAGTCAGTGTATATTCTTGCCATGTCAACCTATTTGTAGCTCCCTCTAAGTGCAACATGCTCAAATGCCTCTGTGTATTTGCATAAGCTATTATTGCCTTAAAACGTTCTTACCAAGTTAAGTATTAACATGCTTTCAAGATTGTACTCAAGCATCACATGGCTTAAAACGCCTTCTCGAATTACCTCAAGTCTGCATTAGGTAACACCACAGACAGCATTCCCCCTATTATAGGGTTTTCCCTACGTGTACCTGTACTCCAATAGTACTCTGTATAATTGTTAATTTAATCATCTCCCCTACTAGACTGAGCTCATCAATTAATCCTTTTAAGAACACAGTGCCAGTACATGGTAAGTTCTCAGTGAGTGCTTGCTGAATAAGCTATCTTGAAATATAGTCATAAATAAGTATGATGGCTATATATTTAAACTATAAATAACTTCCAATAACTATGTCTCTAAGGCAATAAAAAATTTACGTGACTTTATTTATAGGGTGTTTTTTTTTTTTTTTTTTTGAGACAGAGTCTTGCTCTGGCGCCAGGTGCCAGGCTGGAATGTAGAAGGGCAATCTCAGCTCGCTGCAATCTCCGCCTCCTGAGTTCAACCAATTCTCCTGCCTCAGCCTCCCAAGAAGCTGGGACTACAGGTGCACACCACCATGTCCAGCTAATTTTTGTATTTTTTAGAAGAGACAGGGTTTCACCATGTTGGCCAGGATGGTCTCCACCTCTTGACCTCGTGATCCTCCCACCGTGGCCTATTTATACATTTAACAGAACTTCACAAAAAGTCAAAAGACTTCACATAAGTCCAAACTACCCTAAGTATTTGTTTAATTCCCAACGATCTAAAGAGATTTGTTAAAAATATTAGAACTAAAGCCTTTTGGATGCTGTTTCACACAGCGATAATTTCACTGACCACAGTGTTAAAAGCACTAATCTCTTCTCCATGGTAAAATGATGTGAACACTGCTCAGGTGGCCTGGGTTTCCATCTGGACTCTTCTACTTACTACCTATATGACCTTGGATAACAAACAATGAACATCTCCTAGCCTCAGTTTCTTCCATGGGAAACAGAGATAAAATTGCTTACCTACCTACCCACTAGGTTGTTTCAAATATTCAGATACGAACGTGAAAGCATTTCTATAAACCATGAAGTGCTAAATAAATTTGAACTATTGTGTTAACTTCCATTCCAACATCTGCTAAAGTAGCAAACTTAAAGTTTAGCAGGCTAATCCAACCTCCTATATCCACACCACACTCTTACTCTAACGACTGAAAATTCATAAATAAAATTAAGTTCCATGACCACCAGAGCACATAGTCTTCAATAATCTTATGTGGTTGAAGTGCTTAATATCTAATTTAATAATAATCTGACATGTTCTTCAAAAGTGTTTTTTTTTTTAATCTCGAAGTAAATATCAAGGTAAGTTGTTGGTACAGTCATTTAAATTTCAGCTCCATTTAAAAAAATTAATTGGAAGACAAAAATCAGCAGGGAATATTTCAAGATATTTTCTTTTGTTGACTACTTAGACTGGATACTATCAGCTGACATACAAATTTGATCCACTATTAACTAATATGAATGTTAAAAGTCACCCTTACAAAACTGGGGCTTTTTCCCCAAAAATTTCTGACTTATTTCTCAGAAATGCTTGTTGGTCTATCAAAAGAGAAAATTTGCTGCATTTTTCTAAACTAAAAAAAATGATAGAGCATGTTAATTTTGCTCTCAGCAATATCCTTCCTTGTTAAATACGGAACTTATGGAGATTATGAACTATATTAGGAGAAATGGTTTCAATCTCTTCTGCAATATTTATAAAAACAAGATTCCCTGACCTTCAAAGGGCAAAACTTAAAAAAAAAAAAAAAAAAAGAAAATCTACTACAAAAGTCAGCACTTCGGTACCTGATTGTGGTAACAATGCCAAAATCCAAGACGAAGCCCTTTATTGCACATGGTGTTCCAACATCTTGGGCAGCCCCATCTTGCGACCTCTCCACATTGGCTGCTCCTGCTCTCTCTACTGCAGAGAGAACTTCAATTAGAGAAATTCTGAAGCTCATAAATCTAAACTGGATACTCCCCTCATTGGAGGCAAAGACAATAAGACTCACTAAAAAGATTCAAGTTAGAGGAGGTTTCAAATAAATCTAAGTGGCTTAAAACCACTATAATTCAGGCAGCTGAGAGTCTTATTATGGCAACAATCTATTTACCTAAAAAAAAAAAAAAATCATAAGGGAAAAGAATAGCAGCAAATTACCAGACAGCCTGAAAAAACAGCACATATAATCATAAATGTTTAAAAAGTAAAAGTCTCTTCATCCAGATCCAGACAAAAGTAAAAACAAAAAAAGAAAAAAGAAAAGTAAGTCTCCACTAAAGTTGAATTTGTAATATGTACTACACAAACTTATAGCTGATATACGTAATATATACTGCACAAACTTCAATTCTTACGAGAAAAGCAAGTAAGAAAAAAACTAGGACAGATTATTAACTTTTAATGCCCTAAAATAACTTCACTGAAAAAAATGTTTGGTTAAAACCACTGGTTAAGAAGGAGACGTTTCCCTGCTGACTTAAGCCTAGCTGCCCAAGCAAGGCTTCAGAAAATGTCTTTACCTACAACAACGCCTAGGCAGAAGGAGCAGAGCCTCTGGCGGTCTTCCTAGTGACACTTCTAAGTCACATTGATAGGGTATATTTCTGGGATGGACTGCCAACAAGTTACTGAAAGAGTCATAAAAACTACAAAAACCTGGCAAATAAACAGGCCCATGCCCTCATGTGTTTTATTATGATATAAAAGCAAATCTTAACTGAAGTTATCCTGAGACCACCAGATCTCAATCACATCCTCCATACTAACATTACCGGATTTGTGAAAGACCAGATAAGCTTTCAAGCTAGTTTTCCATAAAGATTTGTAATGATGCATAACATGTATAAAGCAACCCTTCCAGCAAATGAGAAGCCCCACCCAAAGAACTTGGTAATTAAGACTTTTCAATTACAGGAACAGACAAACAATTGAAGCACCTTTATTACCATAAACTTGTTATCAAATGTGCTGGTATGTGCTATGCAACAGAATGAGGTTAATTCTGTTTAGAACTGTATTTACTAAATAATTTTTAACAATAATTTTTACCTTACCTGAGTGTGAAAATTTGAAATGGTGGTTGTTTCAATATCTTTCTTGCCCAGAATTTCCATTTTCACTGGAGTGTTGGGGAAATTAAAAGCAAAGTAGTCCAAGAAGTCTGGGAGATAAGCAGCCGCTCCATGCACTATTGCTAAAGCATAGTAAGCAGCATTTTTCTCATTTTCACTGAATGTCAAAGCAAGAAACTCCTCAGAAAATCTCTCCATCTCCATTGGAGACAAAAATGAGAGTTCATCCATGTAAGCATGAAGGACAAGAGCACCACCATTGGACTGGTGTTCCTCATGAATAAAGTTGCTAAATTTAGTACCTGTTTTTAAGAAATTTCTACGAATAGAATGTTCCTGGTGAGTCATGAAAGGTGTTTGTACTCCCTGGGGTACCCGATATTCTTGCATGCCCAAATTTAATCGGCACAGCTGTTCATCTTTCAGATACCTGAAGGACTCCTTATTAAGTCCTGAAGTGCTATTTATTTGTCCTTGGGTGAGAATTTCTTTACTGATGCGGGTCAGCCCAGCACAGACGGTTTGTACTTCCTTATTGTACATTTTAAGGCGTCTTCCACGCATGTCTTCTCGGTGTTTCTTTTTCTTTTTCTTCTTTATTTTCTTCACGACAAAATCATCAGCTCTCTGGGTTTTACCATTTTCATCTGGTGTTTCTGGCCACAATAATTAAAAAGAAGTTAGTTGGTAGGACTAGTGTCAACATACAAGCTTCTTAAGGTACTTGATCTCATTAAATATCCTACCTCGATTTCTCTGAATTTGCTACTACAACTTACGTGCTTAGAAAATGAATGAGACAGAGATCTTAAAATATAATAATATTCTGGATTGAAGAAAAGAATAAAAGAATTGAAGGCATCCATTTTTCAAAGCAGTTTTACTGACAACAGAGAAAAATCAGAAATAATTCACACATCCAAAAAAAAAAAAGAAAATGGTTAAACAAATTATGATATAGCAATGGTATGAAACATACGATAGCTAAATATGATAATTCCAAAATCATAACAACATAGATCCTTTTGTTCAGTAACCTTCATAAAATTTAAATTTAAGCTGGGCATATTTTGCTGTTGGTCTATGAATTACTATGATACATATAGGCAAATCAAAGGCAAATTAAGCCATGAGATATCATTTTTTCCTATCAAGATGGCAAAGTTTGTGGTTTCTGGTCATTCTCAACTACTGTTGCTGGAAGTATAAACTGGTACAACTTTCTGAAGGGCAATTTAGTGATACATGTCAAAAGTCTACAAACCACCATCACATGTGTATACCTATGTAACAAACCGGCACGTTCTGCACATCTACCCTAGAACTTAAAGTATAATTAAAAAAAGAAAATTCTAATCCTCAGACCCAGAAATTTCACTTCCAAGTAAATGTTACCTAAGAAAATAATTGAAGATTAGCAAGGCACGGTGGCTCACGCCTGTAATCCTAGCACTTTGGGAGGCTGAGACGGGCGGACTGCCTGAGCTCAGGAGTTCAAGACCAGCCTGGGCAACATGATGAAACCCCATCTCTACTAAAATACAAAAAATGAGCAGGGCGTGGCGGTGTGTGCCTGTAGTCCCAGCTACTCGGGAGGCTGAGGCAGAAGAACTGCTTGAACTGGGGAGGCAGAGGTTGCAGTGAGCCGAGATCACACCACTGTACTCCAGCCTGGGACAGCGCAAGACTCCATCTTAAAAAAAAAAAAAGAAAATAATTGAAGATTATATAAAGATATCCATGACAGCATTATCTAAAACAACAAAACAGGGAATGTTCTAAATGTCTAGTAACAGGGGACTGATCAAACTCTGATAGTTACATATTATAAAATGCTACCCGGCCACTATAAATTATATTATAGATGGAAAAACTGCCTGATAAATCAGAAGGTTACAAAATGTTTAGACTGTCATTCTTTCAGAAAGCCTTCTCCTCTTCCCCACCCAACCTGGATAGCTATTCCTGCCACACGATCCCTTGGTTTTGTATCCCCATCTTAGCACTTATACTCTGTGTTATTAACATTTAATTTTCCACCTCTCCCATGGACTGTCATCAATCTAAGGTCAGGGATGTATATCTTACTTTTCTTTCCTGAGCACTTAACACATGTACATTCTGATCCCATTTTTATATAAACATTCATTCATCCAAACATTTAAGAACCTACTAAGTGCTAGGTATGCTTCTGAGCACTAAGGCCATAGTGCTAAGGCCATACACAATCCCTAATCTCTTGGATCTTTTTCTCCTCCTTTTTGAGGAGTATGGAGTCTCGCTATGTTGCCCAGGCAGGTCTCAAACTCCTGGGCTCAAGCTATACTCCTGCCTCTACCTCTCTAAGTGCTAGGATTACAGGTATGAGCCATGGTTCCTGGCACCTCTTGGATCTTATGATCTAATTGTACAAGAAAAACAAAGTACCAGGTAATGATAAGTGGGATGCACAAAGTTTGAAGCTCTTTTTGGGAGGTAACATTTAGAATAATTCCTAAATAGTAAGACAAGTCAGGCATGTAAAGGTCTAGGAGAAAATATTCCAGAAAGAAGGAAAGGACCTGAAGAGATGAAAAAATCAGACTGATCTACAGATGCTTTACACACACACACACACACACACACACACACACACACACTCTTTCTCCTTCTCTCTCTCTCTCTCCACACAAACATACACAAGCACACACACATAGAAAAATATCTGGAGACTTTGGGAGGCTGAGGCAGGCAAATCACGAGGTCAAGAGATTGAGACCATCCTGGCCATCATGGTGAAACCCCGTCTCTACTACAAAACACAAAAATTAGACGGGTGTGGTGGCGCACGCCTGTTGTCCCAGCTACTCAGGAGGCTGAGGCAAGAGAACTGCTTGAACCTGGGAGGCAAAGGTTGCAGTGAGCCGAGATCATGCCACTGCACTCCAGCCTGGTGCCTGGTGACAGAGCGAGACTCTGTCTCAAAAAAAAAAAGAAAACTATCTGGGAAAACATATACCAAGCTATTAATGGTAGTTATCTATTGGTGGTAGAATTCTAAATGTCTAGCTTCTTTTCTGCTTAACTGAATTTTCTATTTTTCTACAATAAACATATTACTTTTATCATTTAAAAACTTATTTAATTTTTAAAGGATTATCATGGATTGACAAACTCAAAATAGAATGACATCTTTTGCTTACTGGTTGGAAAATATACTTAGCAAGAAACTTTCAGGATTAAATACGAGATACAGTCCTGTCTTGACCAACTTCTAGTTTGGCCTAGTACTTACTGTATAGAATTTACCCACCAAACAATTGTTTTTTTCTGACATAACTGAAGTAATTTAGAGTTAAGACAAATACTCCAATTAATCCTATTATTACATCTAGAAAAACAAGTTCAACAAATTTTAGAGTTAAGAATTTACTTCATATAATATGTAAATGAATGACAGTTCTAGTACTCTATATAAAATCACTCCAAGTCAACCAGATACTACGTTTATGAAACCTTCTAAAGAAAATACTTTAAAAAGCAAGTCAAAGATTTTACCAATGCCAAATAACTTCCACTGTCTTTCATATTTTCTAAGTATAATAAAATGAAAACCCTTTATTTGCAAATATCACTTGTAATTAAACTGTGATCAAATACCAAAATTTATATATAATCAAAATACAGTTAACCTGGCAAGAGAAAAAGTCATCTTTTATTCTATATACAACTAAATATTTGAGAATTAAACACTGAGTAATAATAATTTATACTTCTTACCAAATAAAGTTAATCTAAATACTTTCCCCAATATCAAATCAGTAATTTAGGCAATTCTCCCAAGCAACTAAATGTTAATGCCTTAAACATAAAGGTTAGACCAATTTAAAATATTCATCTAATTACCCTCTGCTATTAACATTTTAGCAACTTCACAGGAAAACAAGAAAATATCTCTGATCTTGTTATTTTAAGCTTCAGAAGAGGTATTTGGTATGCAGAAAATGAACTGCGACCTAGATCTGCCACTAAAATTAACACCAAGAAGAAACCGCATTTACTGTAACACATTTTCTATATTACTATCAGTTTTCCAGTGGTATTTTTAATATGACCAACTCTCTGTGGGTTTCACTTATATGAGTTTCACAAAATTCACTTACATGAAAACCATTCAATTAGTACAACGTGGCCCATCTCAGAAAAAAGAAAAAAAAGAACCAAAAAAAAAAGAAAAGAAAAAGGAAAAGGAAAAAAACCACGGTATAAAGAACCTTATATTGTAATCTCATAAATCAACATGATAAAAGTTTTAAATATGAAAAAAATTTCAATCTATCTTCTCACTAATCCTGCTTTTCAACTTTTTTTTTTGAGATGGAGTCTTGCTCTGTTGCCAGGCTGGAGCACAGTGGCGCAATCTCGGCTCACTGCAACCTCTGCCTCCTGGGTTCAAGCGATTCTTCGGCCTCAGCCTCCCAAGTAGCTGGGACTACAGGCGCGTGCCAAACGCCCAGCTAATTTTTGTATTTTTAGTAGAGACGGGGTTTCACCATGTTGGCCAGGATGGTCTCAATCTCTTGACCTCGTGATCCACCTGCCTCGGCCTCCCAAAGTGCTGGGATTACAGGCGTGAGCCACCGCGCCCGACCTCAACTTTTTTTTTTTTTCTGTAAATTTTTGGGCGGGGGCTCCCTGTCACCCAGGCTGGAGTGCAGTGGCGCGATCTTGGCTCACTCCAGCCTCTGCCTCCCAGGTTGGGTTCCAGCAAGTCTCCTGCCTCAGCCTCCGGAGTAGCTAAGGCTACAGGCGTGCTCCACTACACACGGCTAATGTTTTGTATTTTTAGTAGAGACATGGTTTCACCATGTTGGTCAGGCTGGTCTCAAACTCCTGACCTCAAACAATTTGCCTGCCTCAGCCTCCCAAAGTACTGGGATTACAGGCATGTGCCATCGTGCCCAGACTCAGCTTTTGACTTTTATCTATCTAACTTAGGCTAAGATACAGAAAGTTGGACTTTGTTTATAGAGAAATTTAAGACTACTCATTTCATTCTGGCTAACAAATCTCCATGAATAAACAAAATGTATTACTGAATTATTATGATGGCAACTAACTGAAAATGGCATATGTAGATTATTATCAAATGCTTGCCACTGTTGATTTATGAGAAAAATAACAATTGCCTAGCCTTGAATTCAAAACGTTATTTAAAAGTCAATGTCCAAAGTCTTCACAACCTTTCTATTTATGGTTTAAGCTTTCCAACAGAGAATCTATTCAGCACATTTTTAGTATTTCCCATAGCATAAAAAGCTAAAATTTATTGACTGCAGTTCTTTATAGAAAAAGAGCCAACCTACACTATAACTGTGATTAAGAAAAGCTCTTGGGGCCGGGCGCGGTGGCTCAAGCCTGTAATCCCAGCACTGTGGGAGGCCGAGGCGGGTGGATCACGAGGTCAAGAGATCGAGACCATCCTGGTCAACATGGTGAAACCCCGTCTCTACTAAAACTACAAAAAATTAGCTGGGCATGGTGGCGCGTGCCTATAATCCCAGCGACTCAGGAGGCTGGGGCAGGAGAATTGCCTGAACCCGGGAGGCGGAGGTTGCGGTGAGCCGAGATCACGCCATTGCACTCCAGCCTGGGTAACAAGAGCGAAACTCCGTCTCAAAAAAAAAAAAAAGCTCTTATATATCGAACTGTGTGATTAAATATAAGGAGAATATAAATACATAATTCTACAGAGGAAGATACATTCACCTAAGAAACAAATTGCTGGCTGTCTTTAAAAAGGTCATTATTAATATATGACATTATTCATAAGATCCTCATATGTGCTATTACTACCAATATTATCAACTATTGTCATCTAATTTCATACCTTTGAAAGTTTTCACTGATACAAAAAAATAGCTTTCCACAGTATTAAGTTCTTTTTTTGTTTTTTTATGGGGTTTTACTCTCGACCAGGCTGGAGGGCAGTGCTGCAATCTGGGCTCACTGCAACCTCTGCCTCCCAAGTTCATGCCATTCTCCATCAGCCTCCCAAGTAACTACAGGCGCACATCACCATGCTCAGCTAATTCTTTTATCTTTTGGTACAGACAGGGTTTCACTGTGTTGGCCAGGCTGGTCTCAAACTCCTGACCTCAAGTGATCTATCTGCCTCAATCTCCCAAAGTACTGGAACTATAGGCAGGAGCTACCATGCCTGGCCTACAAAACGTAAGGTCTTAACAGTAATTAATTCTTACACTCAAATTATGGCTTAGAGCTGGGAAAAAAAAAGTAGTATCTTCAATTCCTAAAAATCATGGTAGATGAACAAAAGCAAAACAAGTGTAATTGCTTTCATCTTATTATTCAAGATTTTTTAAAGGGCTAAAGCTGTTTTCTGAAAATAAACTTTTTTCAGTCTTCTTGAGAGTTCTTCCAGTGCTATATACATACCTGACTAAAAAGAAAAAACAAAACACTACTCATTTTGAAAACCAAACATTTGTGAATCATTGTATGTTTTTAACACTGCCTTATTTTACCTACCATCTCTCTATATTATGGTGTTTTAAGAGCACTGTCTAGGTTTAAATCCCTGTTCTATCGCTTTCTAGAAGTATAACATTTTTTTCCCTAAACTTTACCATTTTTTTAAAGAGCAGTTTCAGATTCCTAGAACTATAACCACATCCGGCTCCCACAAATGCAGTCTCCCTGATTATCACCTCCAGCCAGAGTGGAATGTTTGTTACAACTGATGTGTCTACACTGACACATCATTATCCGCCCACGGTCCCTGGTTTACATTCAGGTTCATTCTTGGTACTGTATATACTGTGGATTTGGATAAATGTATGACATGTATCCACCATTAATTAAATGGCATAAAGAGTAGCTTTCCTGTCCTATAAAATGCTCTGTGCTCTGCCTATTCATGCATCCCTCTCCAAAACCCTAGGAACCACTGATCTTTTAACTTTCTCCATAGTTTTGCTTTTCCAGAGTGTCATACAATTAGAATCATACAATATGCTGCCTTTTCAGAATGGCTTCTTTCCCTTAGTAATATGCACTTAAGGTTCCTCCATGTCTTTTTATGGCTTGATAGCTCCTTTCTTTTTAACACTGAATAATATTCTACCGTCTGGATGTACCACAGTTAATCCATTTATCTACTGAAGGACATTTTGATTGCTTCCCAGTTTTGGCAATTACAAATAAACCTGTTATAAACACCTATCCACAGGTTTTTGTGGGGACATAAATGTTCAGCTCCTCTGGGTAAATATCAGAGTATGACTACTAGATCTGTTAAGAAGCTGCCAAACTGTCTTCCAAAGTGGCTATATCATTTTGCATTCCCAACAATAATGACTGAGACAGCATAACTTTTTGCAAGTTAATTTCTTTGCACTGCTTCTCAATAGTAAAACTGGAGGAAAAAACAGTGTCTTGTCATAAAATTAGTATGCAAGGTACATGAAAAATGCATGTAAGTACTTATAATAGTACTAGAACAAACACAATACATGTTAACTACTAATTATTGCCAAAAACAGTTGAATTATAGAGGCAGTAGAGTGTACTATTTAAGATAATAACAAGTGCTACAGTTAGATAGACCTAGGTCAATATCCCAGCTCTATTGTTTACTAAGGTCTCTGGGTAAGCTCATAAGTCTCTTTAACCTCAATTTTCTCATCTTGAAATGTTATTAAGTCCAGGTGCAGTGGCTCATGTCTGTAATTCCAGCACTTTGGGAGACTGAGGCAGGAAGATTGCTAGAGTCCAGGAATCCAAGACCAGCCTGGGCAATACAGCAAGGCCCATCTTTACAAAAATTAAAATAAAAAAATTAGCTGGGCTTGTAAGTGCATGTCTGTAGTCCTAGCTACAGGAGGGAGCTAGGCTTAGCTACAGGCTGAGGTGGGAGGATTGCTTGGGCCTAGGAGTTCAAGTTACAGTGAGCTATAATCACTCCACTCCACTGCAGCCTGCGCGGCAGAGTGAGACCCTGTCTCAGGAAGCAGGGGGAAGGTATTAATTTTTTTTTTTTTTTTTTTTTTGAGACGGAGTTTCACTCTTGTTACCCAGGCTGGAGTGCAATGGCGCGATCTTGGCTCACTGCAACCTCCGCCTCCCGGGTTTAGGCAATTCTCCTGCCTCAGCCTCCTGAGTAGCTGGGATTACAGGCACGTGCCACCATGCCCAGCTAATTTTTTGTAGTTTTAGTAGAGACGGGGTTTCACCATGTTGACCAGGATGGTCTCGATCTCTTGACCTCGTGATCCACCCATCTCGGCCTCCCAAAGTGCTGGGATTACAGGCGTGAGCCACTGCGCCCGGCCTGGAAGGTATTAATACTACAGTCTATCTCATAATTATTTTAAGGATTAAATGAAACAATGAATATAATCACAATATTTGACACATCTTGATTATCAAGAGAAACACATAAAAAAGATCTCTGGAAGAGGAAAGAAACCTTATTTACCAAGTGTCTAATAGGCACCACAAATGTTACCTCATTTTAATCCTCAAACAAACCAATGAAGTACAGAGAAAGAAACAGAACCTGAAACAAGATATATAATTTATATTAGATCACAAAGCTAGTAGACAACAGACAAGATTCAAACTTTTCACCTATCTGACTGCAAAACTCAAACTCTTCCAACATACTGCCCACTACACTCTCTTCTTTTCTGCCTCCACTATCAGACATCTCCCTGCAACACTCCCATTAGATGATCAACTAAGATTATCTGGTTACAATTAATGGTCCTGAGGTAGCTTGGAAGAAAGGGAGTATTACTTAAGCAAATATTTTACTTAGTGCCCATTCCAAAATTTGTGATGCCCTTAAATATGTGTTTGCCTCTCTCTGGGTGAGTAGGGAAAAATATTAGTCCCTACAGTTGTTGTTCTGATAAATAAGATTATTTATTTCAATTCCCTTATAATCCCAATAATTCTCCATTTCTGACATCAAAAACAAGTGTTTCTGGACTTAAAATTCCTGCTTTTTGACCTAAGAGAAAATTTCCTTTAAATGTCTGGCTCAGGAACACTTAAACTCTGTGATAGCAGCTAGGCAAGTGGCCAAAAGTGAAAAAAAAAAAAAATGAGAAAGCAAAGATGACTCACAAGGGCATACATACGAGCAATCCCGTCACATAATGACATTGGAGAAGAGAGCCTACAGGGGCTGTCTTTCCTTTCTTTTCAACAAAATATTAAAATCATGAATTTACTAACCAATAATAATTAAAAAGGAGCATTACTTCTTTTGTTGGTTTTTTGAGGAAGCATATTTGTCCTATGTTTTCATGAGCAATAAGAAAGAGAGAAAAAAAAACCTAAGATTTCACAAGACATAGGTAACTACCAGTTTAGACTCAAGACTACTGCCTGTATGAAAGAAAAACAACATTTAAATATCTCTTTGTTAAATAATTAACCCCAGTGTGCGTAGCAGATAGATAGGTCAACTGGTCCATAAGTGAAAAAAACTGAGTTCTATATTCAGTTCTATCACTGACTAGAAAATGTTAAGTATTTTACGTCACTGCTCTGAAAATCATTTTGCTTTCTGTTTTACAGATGAACAAGTTTACCCTAGCAATTACAGATTAAATTTTTGTTTCAACTATTTATGAACAACTCCAAATGTCTGAGATTGTAATAATTTATAATTAGCCTCCAAATGAATTCGGATTAAATACTGTTGGACTGCTCTGCAGGAAGGAACATGTCTCTTAAGTGAACTCAAGAGTGACAAACTTTTTCTGTAAAAGGCCAAATAGTAGGATTTGCAGGTCTTATGGTCTCTGTCCCAACTACTCTATTCTGCTACCGTAGGGCAAAAACTACCATAGACAGCATGTATGAATGAACAGAGCGGCTGAGCCAGGCGGATCGCCTGAGGTCAGGAGTTCAAGACCAGCCTGGCCAACATGATGAAACCCCATCTCTACTAAAAATACAAAATTAGCTGGGCATCACGTGATGGTGGGTGCCTGTAATCCCAGCTACTTGGGAGGCTAAGGCATGAGAATCTCATGAACCCAGGAGGTGGAGGTTACACTGAGCTGAGATTGCGCCACTAAACTCCAGCCTGGGCCACAGAGTGAGACTTTGTCTTAAAAAAAAAAAAAAATTGTACATTACAGGTTGTACTCATTTTGAAAAAAAGTACAAAAGCAATTCAATGGAAGAAGATTAACCTTTTCAACAAAAGGTGCTAGAGCAAATGGATATCCGTAGGCAAGAATTTAAAAAGTTACCTAAACCTCAAACCTGTACAAAATTAACTCAAATAGATGACAGATTTAAATATAAAAGTTAAAATTATAAAACTTTTAGGAGAAAACCTTTGGGATGTAGGACTTGGTATGTTAGATATGATGCCAAATATGATCCATTAAAGAAAAAAATCTTAGTAAATTGGCTATCAAGAAAATTTAAAACTTTTGCTATGTGAAGTATCCCACTGAGAAGATAGAAATGACTAGGCACAGTGGCTCCTGTCTGTAATCCCAACACTATGGTAGGCCAAGGCAGGAGGCTCACTTGAGCCCAGGAGTTAGAGACCAGCCTGGCCAAACCCTGTCTCTGTCAAAAAAAAGAAAAAAAAAAGAAAAGAAAAGAAAAATTAGCCAGGTGTGGTGGTGCATACTTATAGTCTCAGCTACTCAGGAGGTTGAGGTGGGAGGATCACTTGAGCCCCAGAGGTGGAGGCTAGAGTGAGCCATGATCACATTACTACGCTCTCCAGCCTGGATAACAGAGTGAGACCCTCCGGAGAAAACAAAAACAAAAACAAACAGGCTGGGCGTGGTGGTCCACGCCTGTAATTCCAGCACTTTGGGAGACCAAGGCAGGCAGATCACCTAAGGTCAGGAGTTCAAGACCAACATGGCGAAACCCTGTCTCTACTAAAAATATAAAAATTAATCGAGCATGGTGGCAAACACCTGTAATCCCAGCTACTTGGGAGGCTGAGACAGGAGAATCAAACCCGGGAAGTGGAGGTTACAGTGAGCCAGGATTGTGTCAGTGCACTCCAGCCTGGCCGACGAAGTGAGAATTCATCACAAAAAAAAACAAAAACAAACAAACAAACAAAAAAACCAAGCAAACAAACTAAAAGGATGAAAAGACAAGCAACAGGCTGGGAGAAAATACATGCAAACCATACAAAGAAGCTGTACCTGTGATCTACAAAAAATTATCAAAACTCGACATTAAAAAACATACAATTCAAGGGCCAGGCACAGTGGCTCACGCCTGTAATCTCAGCACTCTGGAAGGCCAAGGCAGGTAGATCGCCTGAAGTCAGGAGTTCAAGACTTGCCTGGTCAACATAGTGAGACCCTGCCTCTACTAAAAATACAAAAAATTAGCTGGACGTGGTGGCAGGCACCTGTAATCCCAGCGACTCGGGAGTCAGAGGCAGGAGAATCGCTTGAACCCTGGAGGTGGAGGTTGCAATGAGCCGAGATCTCACCATTGCACTCCAGCCTGGGCAACAAGAGGGAAACTCCATCTCAAAAAAAAAAATTATACACACACACGCACATACTTCAACTACAAAATAGGCAAAAGGTATAAAAAGACATTTTGCTGACCAGGATATATAGATGGCAAATGATGATATGAAAAGATGTGTAAAATCACTAGCCATTTGGGAAACGTAAATTAAGATCATGATGATACATCACTACCCATCTATTAAAATAGCTAAAATAAAAATAGTGAAAATACCAGATACTATTGCTGACAGGAATGTAAAATGGTACAGACATTCCAGAAAATATTTTAGCAATATCTTAAAAAAACAAACGAACAAACAAAATAAACATACACAGTCATTCTTGATATCCATGGAGGATTGGTTCCAGAGCCTCCCAGGACACTAAAATCCAAGGATGATCAACTCCCTGATACAAAATGCCATACTAACTGCTTATAACCTATGCACATCCTCCCCTATACTTTAAATTATCTCCAGATGATTTTATACATAATACAATGTAAATGCTATATAAATAGTTGTTATACTGTATTGTTTAGGGAACAGTAACAAGAAAAAAGTCCATACAAGTACAGTACAATTTTTTTTTTAATATTTTCAATTTCAGGTTGGCTGAATCCATGGATGTGGCTTACCATATGACCAAAGAAATGAAAAGTTGCATGCACACAAAAACCTAAACATCAATGTTTATAGAAGCTTTATCTATAAATGGACAAAACCAGAAATAACCAAAACGTTCTTTCTATAGGGCAATGATTTAATAGATGAACCATGGGACTTCCATACCATGGAACACTATAAAGCAACGTAATAGAGGGATGGATCTCAGGGACATCATGCTGAGTGAAAAAGGGCAATCTCCAAAGATCACATACTGTATAATTTCATGTATATAATAGTCTCAAAATGACAAAATTACAGAGATGAAAAACAGATTAGTGGTTGCCAGGGGACAGGGATGGTAGAGAGACAGAGGCCATAATTTGTGGTGGTGGAATAATTCTTTATGTGGATTGCAGTGGTGGTTACGCTAATCTACATATGATAAAATGGCACAAAGCTACATATACATTGTACCAATGTCAATTTCCTGGTGTTGGTATTATACAATAGTTATGTAACACGTAACCACTGAAGGAAACTGGTAAAAGGTAAGGACTCTACTATGTTTGCAATTTCCTGTGAATCACTAATTACCCCAGAACAGTTAAAATAGTTTTCAGAAATCTGAGAATAAGCTAAGGAAGTACATAGCCTTGTAAGTAACAAGAATCTGCCCACTCTTCTTATTAATGTTAGAGTTGTTTCAAGGACCAAGCATAATAAAACATTAAATGCTGGTTTTAGCTAAGTGCCTACAATGAGCCAGGCACTGTTGTAAGTACTTTCACACAATGTCCTGTTTAATCCACGTAACAACCTTATAAATGAAATTCCACAACCCCATTTTACAGGTAGCAAAAGTGTGGTTGAAAGAGGTTAAAGCAATTTGTTCAGGGTCACACAGTAAGTGTTAGAGCCATGATTTAAACTCACATTAATACCAGAGGCATGCCTCTTGCATACCACTGTAACAATAAAGATGTTCAGAGGATAAAAAAAGGTATCAAACTATGTGCAAAGGCCTGGATTAAGCAAAGTTAAACCAGTTTATTTTCTGTAGGGTTTTCAAAGCTTTTTAAATGCTAGTTCATGTTACATACGTAAAAGGCTAGAGTATACAGTTTTTCTCAAATGTATTTGACCAAAAAAACTCTTTTTCCCCAAAAATCTAGTTTGGGTATATAATCCAAGAATCTTTCGGCCAAAAGTTAAAATGTTTAAATGGATTTATCTTAACCCACTTCTCTTCTTCACATATTGGCAAACTACAAATATTTAGAGTGGTGTTGTCCAATGTGGTAGCCACTAGCCATATGTGACTAATTATACATTAATTAGAATTAAATAAAATCAAAATTTCAGTTCCTCAATCATGTCACATTACAAGTCTGTTCAAGAACCACATATGGCTACCATATCGGTCAGCACAAATACAGAAAATTTCCATCACCTGAGAAAGTTCTGTCAGTCAGCATTGGGTCAGAAGCTTGTTTTTTTAAAGAACATGGGACCTGTACCATCTTCAGAGAAGCACGTTGTAAATTATTACACATGTTATTGCCTCTATCCCCCCCATAAAACTGGGCTAGGTCAGAGATCCTTGATGATCTAAAGCTACTGCAATGTCAAAGCAGAGGGAAAAGGTAAACAAAGGAGTGGAAAAAATGAATAGCAGGAAGAGAAGCTTGAAGCCAGATTCAGGAGTCTGGGTTCTACTCCATTATGCCAATAATTTTTTTTTTAAACTTAATTTTGTTTTCATTTGGTGCTAATTTAACTGTGATTAAACAGGCCTCTTTACTACTTTGGGCCTCAGTTTCCTTTTCTACAATACAAATTTAAGCCATACGATCACTGATTCCCTCTAGTTCTGTACAGTTAAAACACACATACACAATGAGAAAGCAGGGAATACAGGTAAAAATAGAAAGATCATCGAATATTGGTAGTGGAAACTGGCAATCCTGTCATCTTACCACAAGTTCTATTCCCCAGGACAAGATTTGGATACCACCAAATGAATAAAAATTTAATGCTAGTCAATGCTTATTGAGCAATTATTTGCAAACAGCACCAAAAAAAAAAAAAAAAAAAAAATTAGCCTTAAGACCAAATATGTGGAAGGAATGCAAGGAAAGACTGGTTCATTAACATGTAATAACCCAACTGGTCCAGTACTAAAAAACAAAGAAGTATTTTAAATCTTCCTGAGGGAAAATAACTAGCAAATTATATAAAATAATATACAAAGTACAAACATATGGCATAATAATAGCATCAAATTTCTTCAACAAATAAAATAAATTCTACAGGTACTTGGGAACAGGAAGACGCCAATTTTGGCCAATCTAATTTTTCTAGAACCCACACTTTATTGGATACTCTTACATTTTCTAGTTATATATTCTTGAGGGCTATTGGAATTAACAGATTCATAAATTGTGCTGGACAGAATAAAATGCAACCGGAATTTCGGCCTCTTACTGCACACCCACTTTTCAGATGCACTGTTGGTCCTATTTCCTCGTATCAAAGGGTACAGAAAACCTTCCACATGCCTATTCTAACAATTGAAATAGCTAATATGAAACCTTTAAAATGATTTTTACCTCTAGATTAAAAAGAACCAAGGTAAACTGCGTTTGGTATTTTACTTTGCAGAAGGTAAGTCAACCAGTGAGTCGTGTAACCTTTACATGAATTCCCTCCTGAAAGACTGGAATCATACCCGTGACTATTCTGGAGTAAGGGAGAGCAGACACTAAAGCTTTCCAGCAAGCAAAACAAGGAGAAGGGATTTTAGCAACATGCCTTTACTTTGGAAAGACATTTTTTAGTACCCCACCTACTAATCTAAGGCGGCGCGGAAACCTTGCAGAATTTGAAAACAAATGGTGAGAAGCTCCGGGGGACTGGTAAAGGGGTTAGTAACTGACAGCTCGGCCTCGGAGCGAGAAGCCTCAAGTAGTTAGATCAAACTGTGTCAACGATCTGAAATCCAGGGTCCACCCTAGTGGGCTTAGAGAAGTAGAGCAGCAGGAGGTAAGCAGGGCTTTGGCGTGTTTCAGTCCTAAAGATGCGGGATATCGGAACTGAGAGAGACCTAGAACCCAAGCCGGGCAGTTTGCCTGCTCTCACCTCTCTTGGGGGCTTTGATGAGAGGCACCCCTCCAGTCCTCTCGCCGTTTTCCTGCTTGTCCTTGTGCTTGAGATCGGTTCCGCAGGAGCTGGGGTCACCATCGGAGCCGCGGTGGTGATGGTGCTTGTGCCGCTCCTTGTAGCCCTTATGCTTGGGCCCGGCCGCGCTCACCGTCAGAGGCGAGAAGGTGAAGAGGGCCGAGGTGCTTGGGGCCGGGAGAGGGGCAGCGACAGCGGGCCCGGCGGGTGCCAGCGAAGGTGGCGGCGGAGGCGGCAGGAGAAGAGGCTCAACAGGGCCTGGGACAGTTGGGGCTGCATTCGTTGGCGGCAGCGGCCCAGGATGTTGGCGGCTGCGACGCCGGCGGTGAGGGGGAGCGAGAGGGGGCTCCTGGCTCGGCCGCCCCCGCTTCTCCTGAGACCCCCCACTGCTAGATCGGCGCTGCCGCTTCACTCCCCGCGGGGAGACCCCAGCATGAGGTTTCTCCTTCCCCTCTTTGTCCGGCTCCTCCTGCGCCGCCACCGCCCGTACTACGCGCACCGCTCCGACCTGCGCAGCCATTTCACCCACAAACACACATTTAAATGGCCCGACCGCCCCCCCGTCTGCGCATCGCGCAAGCGCCGCCCGCGCACTGCCCGCTGGGCATTGGAGTCTCTCCCCCGCCCTCCACTTGTCGGCCGCTCTTCGTCCAGAGATGAACATGCCGGAAGCGGCCGTTCCCAGCTTTTCTCCGCAGGCCCTTCCAACCGACCTTCTATTGTAAAAGCACCCTGGGCCGCGCAAAGCGTCATGGGAACTGTAGTTCCGCCGCGCCCCGCGCCGCGTCCCCGGCTCTGAGTGGAGAAGCGGAAAGGGAGCGTGCGCGAAGTCACGCTTCTGGCTGCGACGCAACCGCTGCTGGGCGGTGATTTGCCGCCAACCGCCCTAACGGCCGAAACAATGTTAATGGCTTTCAGAGTCTGGAGGCGTGTTCCCATTATCATCTTCCTGTGACCCTTCCTCGTTTTACACAGTGGAGGTGGTCTCCACAGTGACTTTTAAATTTAACATTCCTCTCATAACCTTTGTGAGGTAAAAGAATCTCCATCCTTTTAACTTTGACGGGAGATGAAGATGAAAAGAGGATTTAGTAATATGTAAAATAAGGGTGGTTTTGCTGTAAAAATCAGATAGGGCCGCAATTCAGAAATATTTTCAAGCATCTGGGGCATTGTTACAGTTACAACTACAGGCCTAAGAAGTCGGGTGCGAGAACTCCTTGGGGTCCTGGTGAGTGCGGCCCCTCCTCACTCACAGAGGGATATGTCGAGCCATATCCCTCTAATGTCAGGAAAGGGTCAGCATTTATTTTGAATATATCCCTAAGTTACGAAAAATTGTAGATGGAAACCATGTTTAAGATTTTAATAAGATTTGTTTTTCAAATGTTAAGGATATAGATTGCACAAATTTGAAAAGTGTGCCTACCAGAGAACACACCAAAAATCGTCACTGTTCACTACGATATAGTTGCTGCTCAGAAATGCGTTTAGAATTTCATCCTCGCTTTAGCTTTTACCTGGGTTTCTTTTATGTATTTATTTAGAGATGGGTGGGGCGGGGTGCGGTGGCTCCCGCTGGTAATCCGCTAGCTTTGGGAGACCCAGGTGGGAGGATTGCTTGAGGCCAGGAGTTCGAGATCAGCCTAGGTAACGTATGAGCCCTTGTCCCTCAAAAATATTTTTTAAATTATCCAGGCACACGCCTGTAGTCCTGGCTACTTGGGAAGCCGAGGGGGAGGAGTGGTCGTGCCACTGCACTGTGGCCTTGGTGACAGATCCAGACCCTGACTCTTAAAAAAAGGGAAATACAAGGTCTTGCTCTGTTGACCAGGCTGGCCTCCAACTCCTGGGCTCAAAGAATGAGTAGCTGCGCCGACAGGTGCACTCATAGTGCCCAGCTTTACCTAGAATTCTTTTAATATATTTCTTTCTTGATAAAGACATTTGGAAGTAATTGATTATAGAGATATACTCAGCAGATAAAATAACTGGTTTGATATCACTAGTTTCTGGAGAACTATTACCTAAACATTGTAATGAGGTCAGTTTAAAAACAAAAAAGTTTATTGAGCATCTATTGGATACATTGTACTACAACAGACATAATAATATCTCATTCAATTTGCCCTATTGGGCTTCCGAATGAAAAATACAAACAAATGATGTTTAAGCAATATCACATGTTTCTAAAACTTATAAATAAAGTTCTTTAAATAAGATTTTTAATGCATTAGGGAAAGTCAGGTAGATTCTTTTTAAAAAAACAATTACCTACCAATTTATTTGCTATATAAAATTAGAGTTGAAATAGATTTTCTTATCGGAGATCCATATTCATATAGAAATTTACTTTAAACTAGTATTTTTGATTGGCTGGATATAAATTGCACATGATCTAAAGATCCTGTATAAACATGTGCAATTTATGTCTTGCTACCAAAAGATAGCTATTATATTTCATTGATTCCTTTTCTAGAATTGGCAATTTAATGACTTTGGTTAAAACTTAGCAGGAATGTAGTTGAATGCCTTGTTGTTATATTCAAACAATTGTCATTATTTGCACATTTTATTCTCATAATTTCTCATTTTCTTAATATTCCAGTTTTCTACAACATCTGGGAAGATTTATAAGGTATACTACATTTAGGCAAAAATAACTCCCAGGGAATAGTCATTGTCAAGAGCAGTTTGTATTACAACCCACAAGGTAAGTCTTTTTTATAACTTTTTATAGTAAATTCTGGCAATGGAGAAATTAGTTGAGATCCAAATCTTACAAACCTTTTGAAGTTTCTGTTTATGTAAAAAAGTAAGATAAAAATAACTTGCAAAAATGAAAAATAAATCCATTCTAAAAGTGTTTCTCATATAGCATTCTCTACATAAGCTCAAGTGACAAACATTTGCAGTTTTCAACTCAATGTAAGTAATATGAAAATGCAAAACTGGCACTTATTTGCATTTTGCTTTTCTTTTAAAAGCTATTAACACATTAGCATCTCTTTATATTTGGTATTATGCATATAGAGCATTTATTTTAACTGGCAGTATTCTAGTAGTTTTAGTCGCACGTGTATTTGCAGCCCATATTCTTATAAATCTGGAGTTGTATTAAATATTCCAAGTTGGTGGTGGATTCCTTGGTCCTTTGGGTTTTGAAAAACGGTTTGCAAAACCTGGAAACAAAAATAAAGTTGAATGAAAAGAAAGATGTTTTAAATATAGAAATGAATACTTGGCTTTTAGAGTATATTATATGCAAATACGTGAACTTTTTTAAAGGTTAGGCAGTATCTTGACCAATTTAGTAATAGATTGTTAAGGCATTAATCTAAAGTTTAAATGATAACAGAATACTAATAACACTTTAAATTTGATGAGCACTTACAAATTTAATAATGGTAATAATAGGATGAAGCACACTGGTTATATATAGCTTTTGATAATTTAGTATATAATATCATTTATCTATGACTTTTTGTCATCCACTCCTAACCATCAAACGAAGCTGCGAAATTTTAATTTCACAAAAATATAGCACCATTACTTATAACATTATTGTATTACATCCAGTTATACCTCTATGTCGATCCAGAAATCCTTCAGTTATACTAAGAGATTATGTTTGGAAAGCTTAGAAAAAATAAACAATCCTGAAAAACTAAGTAGGTAAGTATCATTATTATTTATCTTTATTCTTCAAACTTGTTCACCCTACCCCACCCCAAAGATGAGGAAATTTTCACAACTACTTAAGGCTATTTTTGGGTGTTTTCAAAAGATGTGCAGGTTGATGACATTGGTTCTTTATCACTTTAGCAACATATGACTTTTATGACTTTTCTTTAATGGCAGTGTCTTTTTGTTTGAGATGGAGTCTCGCTCTGTCTCCCAGGCTGGAGTACAGTGGGGCAATCTTGGCTCACTGCAACCTCCGCCTCCCAAGTTCAAGTGATTCTTCTGCCTCAGCCTCTCGATTAGCTGGGATTACAAGCACCAGCCACCATGCCCAGCTAATTTTTGTATTTTTAGTAGAGATGGGGTTTCACCCTGTTGGCCAGGCTGGTCTCAAACTCCTGACCTCAAGTGATCCACCTGTCTTGGCCTCCCACAGTGCTGGGATTATAGGTGTTAGCCATCATGCCAGGCCTAATGGCAGTGTATTTTTAAGTTATCTTACACTTAGCAACTTTAGGGGTTTAAAGTGAGAAATGAAAGGTTTGAAGTGCAGGAGAATAATAAAATGGAAAACTCAAAGATATTCCTAAAACTTTAATTTCATCATCATACAAATTGTATTATCTTACAAATTGATGTAAGGATCAAATGAGGTATTTGTGTAAAAACGATTGGGGCGGGGTGCAGTGGCCTGTAATCCCAGCATTTGGAGGCCTATGCAGGAGGAATTGCTTGAGCCCAGGAGTTCAAGACCAGCCTGGGCAAATTAGTGAAACCCTGTCTCTACAAAAAAATACAAAAAAATTAGCTGGATGTGGTGGCTTGCACCTCGGGTCTCAGATATTCAGGAGGCTTAGGTAGGTGGATCATTTGAGCCCAGGGAGGTCAAGGTAGCAGAGAAAAAAGAAAACAACACCAAAAAAAAAAAAACAGCATCCAGCACAATGCCTGGCACATAGTAAGTACTCAAATGTTGCTCAGGTCAGTCATGGTGGCTCACACCTATAATCCCAGCACTTTTGGAGGTAAGTTTGGAGGATAGCTTGAGGCCAATAATTCACATAGTAACTACTCAAATGTTGCTTAAATTTCAACCTTGAAGCCAGACACAGTGGCTCATACCTGTAATCCCAGAACTTTGAGAGGCCGAGGTGGACGGATTACCTAAGGTCAGGAGTTGGAGACCAGCCTGGCCAACATGGTGAAACCCCATCTCTAGTAAAAATACAAAAATTAGTTGGGCATGATGGCAGGCACCTGTAATCCCAGTTACTCAGGAGGCTGAGGCAGGAGAATTGCTTGTACTTGGGAGGCCAAGGTTGCAGTGAGCCGAGATTGCACCACTGCACTCCAGCCTGGGCAACAGAGCAAGACTTGGTCTCAAAAAAAAAAAAGAAAATGAATCTAGAAAACTATGCCAGAAATGGAAGAGAAGGAGGGTAGGGAAGGGGAACAAAGGCACATTCAAATTTATTAATGATGGTGATTAAAAAAAAATTGGTGGAGGGGACATACAGCCTAGTTCATGTACATTTTACTCTTCTGAGTGGTAAAAAAGAAGATGGAAGGAATACTTCTGGTTAAATAGTTTCACACACAATAGTCAGAATCATCCTGTCAGTACAGATCACTTGATTGTAACCCAAGTGAATTAGGAGTAGAGATAAGGACATATGTTAGTACTGAGTACCTAAAATTTTAGGAATACCTATATTCAGTCTCTTTCACAGATCAATAGTTTAAAACAGTTTCAGGCTACCTTTTTTTTTTACATGGGAGCCAATTCAGGGAAAATAAACTTGAACCCCAAATTTTTTATTCAGATTTAACTACTTTTTTGAGTAACATGCCCTTAAATTGATGTTGCCTGAAAAAAGTAAGTGCTGATTTTTTGGGGTTTTTTTCCAAGACAGAGTCTTGCACTGTCACCCATGCTAGAGTGCAAGTGGCGTGATCACAGCTCACTGCAGCCTCAACCTCCCGGGCTCAAGTGATCCTCCCACCTAAGCTACAGGCACATGCCACCATGCCTGGCTAGTTTAAAAAAAAAAAAATTGTAGAGACATAGTCTCACTGTGTTGCTTAGGCTAGTCTCAAACTCCTGGCCCCAAGCAATCCTCCCTCCTCAGCCTCCCAAAGTGCTGGAATTATAGGCATTGAAAGTGTTGCTTTTTAAGTAGATAAAATGTTCAAATTTAGGCATATCTGAGAGGAAGCAACATGGAGGCAGCTCTCTAATATTTTATCCTCATATTGGATTATATAGACTGTTGTTAAGCTAGGTAGGCCTAGAGTTACTCAAGTTGTATCACTGATTTAGAGTAAAGAAGGAAGCAGAGAAAATTTGTGTTCCAGGAAAAGTTGGGAGCTTTTTCCTTTTTCTTTTTTTTTTTTTAAATGAGATGGTCTCGTTATGTTGCCCAGACTGGTCTTCAACTCCTGGGCTCACGGGATCCTCCCACCACTACCTCCCAAAGTGCTGGGATTACAGGCATGAGCCACCATGCCTGGCTTGCTTTTTTCATAGTTTATACAATATTCTATGTAAATGTTTTAGCTAAATGATTTTACATAAATTATACATTTTTTAAATTATAAGTTTTTTTTTGAGACGGAGTCTCACTCTGTCGCCAGGCTGGAGTGCAGTGGCACGATCTCAGCTCACTGCAACCTCCAACTCCCTGATTCAAGTGATTCTCCTTCTTCAGCCGCCTGAGTAGCTGGGCTTACAGGCATGTGCCACCACGTCCAGCTAATTTTATATTTTTAGTAGAGACAGGGTTTCACCATGTTGGCCAAGATGGTCTTAATCTCCTGACCTCGTCATCTACCTCCCTCAGCCTCCCAAAGTGCTGGGATTACAGGCATAAGCCACCACACCCGGCCTAAATTATAACTTGTTAAACCTTAAAGTTAATGAAATCCAAACAAAATTTTGTGGCAAAAAAGGCAGATCCAGAGATTTTAGTTAAACATTTTGTGAAGATGACATAGGGATTCTAACTTAAGTGTGGCAGAGATTGCTACTTGTCCACCAATATCTTTCTTTGCTTCTTCCTCAAATAGAATTGTATGTAGGCAATTTTATTTGCCCAACAATATTACATTTCCTAATCTCTTTTGCAATTTAATTATAGCACATGTCTAAGTTCTCATCAAGAAAATATGAGCTGATATAATCTGGCCATTTCCAGGCCAGTGCCTTTGAAGACCAGAAGAGTAAGAAGAGGAGGCCACACCTCCACTTTTTCCTGTTTTCTTGCCACCTACAGTCTGGAGATGGCAGCAACCCAATTTGATCTTCTAAGGAAAGACAACACCATTAAGCGGCAGTTCTCAAAGTGTGATTCAGGGACTCCTAGAGGCTTCACACTCTTTTAGGGTGGTTTCGGTTAATAACAATTTTTAGTAGTAATAGCCTACCACTAATTGCTATTCTGCTTACAAAAAATTATACATGATACTACTTGAAATAGTATTATAAATATGTATCACTTAGAATAATATAAAATTATCATTTTAAGTTTATAGCATATACTTATGAGCAATTGGGTAAGCAAACCTTAAAACTGTCAGAATTGTGCTTTATTTCCTAATGTTAAATTAGTTATATAAGATTAGACAGTGGCAACTGCTGTTCTTTTTATCATACTTGTATGTTTTTTATAAATTTGTTTTAGATATGAACCGAAATATCACAGCATCTCAATTTTTTCATTGGGCTAGTCATATTTATTTACTACATGCCAACACAATAATTTGGTTACCTAGCTTTATTTTTCACATATACTAGGTAATTCTGTGTGACATGTTAAGAGGTAGTTAAGGTTAAAAATAAAAAGATAAATTGCATGGAAAAGAATATAAACATGAGGAACTATACATGCAACCTAAAATCATATTTAAATTTGAATCTGTTATACTGTAAATGGGTAATTTTTTTACTCTTCTGTAAAATAACACACATACCAAAATTGAGAAATGAGCTGGAGTTACTTGACTGAACAGATTCTGCAGGCTTGTTTGGTGGACAAGAATTACAGATACCTAGAATCAAAAGAAAAAATATAAGGGAAAGACTAAAGACAGACTCAGATGACAGTTGATCAGATCACACATAATTGTTAAGAGTAATTAATAATCCCAAATAAACATATCACTGTCAAATGTCAACAAAATATAGGTGCTTACAAATGAGTTGACACTATAATATTCTCATTTGTATTTGTGTTTTTTTCTTAAAAGGTGTCTTCCTTTGCAAACAATTTATAGTAAAGCCCAACACTAAAGAAATTTGCCAAAGAAATAAGATCCAATATATCATAAATCAGCTTGAAATTCACATTTTGGCTTTGGATTTCACATTACTTTTTCCTCTGACCACTCTTAGTACATTTTTACATCATTTATTCTCCACAATATTTCATTCATGACAAGTCTGTTATTTTTTTTTATTTAATCCCCTACCCTGGAATCTCTTTTTTTCATTCCACTTTCCAGCCTGATTTTTCTCTAATTATAGGTGATTCTAATACAGGCCTCATAACCTGGCATGGTGACTCATGCCTGTAATTTCAGCACTTTGGGAGGCTGAGGCGGGCAGATCACTTGAGGCCAGGAGTTCGAGACCACCCTCCCCAACATGATGAAACCCCGTCTCTACTAAAAATACAAAAAAATTAGCCAGGCGTGGTGTTGCACATCTGTAATCCCAGCTACTTGGGAGGCTGAGGCACAAGAATTGCTCAAACCTGGGAGGCAGAGGATGTGATGAGCCCAGATTGCACCACTGCACTCCAGACTAGGTGACAGAGCAAGGCCCTGTCTAAAAAAAAACATAATATTTAATAATTATTATTATTATTTAGGCCTATAATCTCCGAAAAGCATTGTTATGCTGCTTTGTTTTGCTATTTTAGTTACTTAGAGGTATAAGTTAATTTATAAGTTACTTATAGGTCATATATATACATTGATATATTCATGTATCAGTGTCTGCAGTTTTGAAAACAGTCCCTTAAAAAGTTTGTCCACATTTTACACATGCTCTATCTTAGCAATGGAAAAAGATAATTTAGGTTTGTATAAACTTTCTAACAAATAGCATATAAGTGGGAAGATATTGGTAAGTATTTTTGTTGTTGTTTTCAGCATTTTCAGAATGCACTGTGAGAACAACAACATATGTGTGTTTGCACATGTATACCTAATATTAGGATTCTAGAAAACCTTCACTTTCCAGAGGGTACCTGAGTATGAATCACTGGAATGCATACTGAATTTCAATCAGATCCATTTAAAATACATATTTATTTTATACTTACGATATTACTATAGTAAGTATAATTATTATTCTTAATATAAAGTATAAGTATAAAATACTTAATAAAATACTATTCATATTTAAATACTTACCATGTACTAAGGATTGGTCTAGGCACGGAAGATAGAGACGTGAATATAAAGTGAGTAAAGGTGAGGAAGTTTAGGAGTTACCAGTAATCTCTAAACTGCATAGGAGCTGAAAGTTATATATCCTTCAGAAAGAAAACAACTGTCCCAAAGGATAATATTGGTCTTTTACAGAGGAGGCACAGATTCCACATATATATATCAGAGGAAACTGCTATTTTGTGTTTTGGCTCATTATGGACATTTTTATGCTACCTGCCTAAACTTCATTCCCTCTTCTAATAATAGAACTTGAATTTTTCTTTAGGAAACTACTCCTTCACAATTTTCAGTTTCCGTGCTTCCAGTGGAGCTGATTGTACCTTTAGATTAAGGAAATGACCTATAACTAGGGCTGATTTTCAGTTAGTATATTGGCATGGTCACACCAGATGTATAGGTTTGACCTCATTCCTGATTGGACAGTGTCCACATGTAACAAGTGTTAAATATTAAGGTATGACACTATCCTGCCTAATCAGAACATTGACTATACTGGCAATAATTGGTTCAGGGATGAGCAAACGAGCCAAGCCAAGACAGTCAGACCCTGTTGGCACTAGTCATCACAGTGTGGTTTGAAAACCAATAAATAGTTATTTTTTTCCCCTTATAAGCCTGCCTTTGAATGAGCTAACACAGAGTGAGACTAAGCTGAGAGACATTAAATGAGAGATTAGGTTCTGATTTCATCATTTGGACCATTGTTACAAGCCAGTATATATTCCCCTTTTCTGCTTAAGTCAGCTTAAGTCAGGTTTTCTGTCACTTGCAACTAAAGGATTTGTGACAATTAAAGTTTCCCACCAAAAGTTGGTATCAGGCATCACAGTTGACAGCTTCCACTCTTGTCATTCTATAATTCATTCTTTATATAGCAGCTAGCATGATCGTTTTATACTTTTCTGTGAAACATTTAAAAATAAATAGAAAACAAAGTATAAAACATCTCTGCATGAAACCCTATTATGGCTTCCCATTACACTTAGAATAAACTAAACTACTTACCATGCATGACCCATAAGAATCTAACTATTCCTCCCTGATCTTTCCAGCCTTGCCTTATTCCTGTCTCCTCCTTACCTACTACTATGTAGCTAAGATGTCTTCCTTTTGAATTTCTACAATAAACCGAATTCTTATACCTCAGATATTTTGTTCCCTCTATCTGAAAAACTCTTCTCTGGACCCTTTGGCTGGCTGACTGCTCCTTCATGTTTCAGGTTCAATTGTCACTTCCTTAAAAGGGTTTCTTGGACGACTCATTCTAAAGTGGATTCCCGTTGTTATCCTCTCATAGTTACCCTTTTGTTTTCCTTCATAGCATTATCATGTGTTATATGTATGTAATTTGTGAATTTGTTTAATGTTGGAATCCTTCACCAAACTTAAGTTCCACAAAGGCAGAGCCCATATCTGTTCTGTTCACCATCTTACAGTGAACAGAGTGTAAGTACCTTACAGAATGCCTGGAACACAGTAGACACTCAACAAATATTCATTGAATGAATAAATGAATGACACTAGGCCTAGATACTAGCTTAAAATAATAGATGGAGAATCCTAATTTCATTAAAAGTAGGACCAGCTTTACAGTCCAGTGGGAGATCCAGGCTACAGGAAGAACACATGGAATTCCAGAATCATGACCCATCTGGAAGGGGCTGAGGACACATATGAAGTACAGTCTAAAGCTTCAATTTTGGGGGCCGGGATCAATTTTGGGGCCAGATGTTGTTTTTCATTTAAGGGCAAAAGACCAGAGGATCAAGGTAACTGAAAAATACAGCACAGCCTAGATCCAGAGAATGAACTGAGAGCTCTTTCTTAGAAATAAGACTTAATCTCCGAAAGTTCCACCATATCTTAAAAGCTGTGCCAACCTAAATCTACCTGTAGTTTCTGTTTCTTTGCTTGATTCTCTAGGCAGGGTTGGAGCTGGGGAAAGAAAACTGTTAGAAGAGTTAGGCTGATCAAACCAATCTCTGGTTGACTGTTTAAGTCACTCAGTTCTTTGTACTTGGTTATTTTCTTTCCCCTGTTTCCTACCATAATTTCCTTTTGAAATGTTTGAATTCTCTTTTGACTGTAGGAGAAAAGGTATATTTTCCAACTATACTTCAGCCATCATAAGAAAGAAATCAGTTCATGTCAGAGATCAGCTATGATGGCAATGATAGCAAACTAGCTCAAGAACCTGGAGTTTTTGGGTAGGCAGACAGAATGAAAACCCAAAAGGAAAGCTTCTTTCTTACACTATACCTTAAATCAGATTTTCTCAGTACTTTCTGTCTCTCCCCTATTCAGTGATTAACCAAACGGCTCGAAAAAAATTAAGTATATCACCATGGTTTTTAAATGTTATATTTGTAAATAAGATTTCTAAGATAATTCCCCAGAGTTTCAGGACTCAGTGGAATTTATTTTCATTACAATATAATAAAATTAGTAAGCAACAGACTTTTATTGCTAATACTTGGTAAAAATGGAAATATATCAATCCTTTGCTTATTTCATGAAGTTAACATATTTGTTTCACAATATGCTTTGCTGTGACTATTTCCAAAACATACAACTGAGGTGAGACTCCTGGAAATTTTAAATAACACAATTGTATGACAGCACCTTAAGAGGGGTAGAAAGTGCCAAACATTGGCCGGGTGCAGTGGCTTACACCTATAATCCCAGCACTTAGGGAGGCCGAGGCGGGAGGATCACTTGAGCCCAGGAATTTGTGACTAAGCTGGGCAATATGGTGAAACCCCATCTGTACTATTAAAAATAAATTTTAAAAAGATATTTAAAAAAAATTTTAATGGCAAACATTGTACTAATTATTATTCTTATGTATTAAACAGAATTCTCCTTGCCTGCCCAACATTAGCACTGTGAAGCCTAGCCAAAAAAAAAAAGGCCTAGGGCTGATTGTTCTGATTCGTAGGATCCTAGGGAGGCTCTGTTTAGGAATAATATTGTTAATCTTTTCAAAATATTGGTTGGTTATATAAAGAAAAATTACAAAATTGAGAAAACAATATTTTAAAACATAAATACCAACTTACTCTTTTTCATGTTTCGCAAAATTTTCAAACTCTACAAAAGTGAAGAAAGGGAAAAATGTTAGTTTTTTTCCTGTGAAGTTTGAAATACTTCAATCAAGTAGAATAGAGACTTGAGTGAAAGGAATTAATTTCCTTATAAAAAGCCATGAAAATGTACATAGTTATTTTTCCATCTTGCCATTTTTAATTCAGTGCAAAATCTCCACTTGATTTTATCTTGCTATTTATATCACCCATGCAAGTATCACATTACATATTTTGAAATAATATTATCAGAGGCTGAGCACAGCAGCTTACACCTGTAATCCCAACACTTTGGGACGCTAAGGCAGGAGCACTGTTTGAGCTGAGGAGTTTAGGACCATCTTGGGCAACATAGCAAGACCCCCATCTCTACAAGAAGTGAAAAAAAAATTAGCTGAGTGTGGTGGCAGCTACTGGGGAAGCTGAGGCAGGAGATCTGCTTGATCCCAGGAGTTCAAGGCTGCAACGAGCTGTGATCTCACCACTGTGTTCCAGCCTGGGCGACAGAGTGAGAACGTGTCTTTTTAAAAAGATTAATAGTTTTTTTAAAAATTATTCTATCAGACTATTGACAGGGATAGGGGGTGCTGGCAAAGTGGCTCATGCTTGTAAATCTAGCACTTTGGGAGGCTCAGGTAGGAGTTTCCCTTGAGGCCCAGGGTTCAAGACCAGACTGGGCAACATGGTGAGACTCTATCTCTACCAAAAATTTTAAAAAGGTAGGCATGATGGTGCAGACCTGTGTTCCCAGCCACTTGAAAGGCTGATGCAGGAGGATCACTTGAGCCCAGGGGGTCAAGACTGCAGTCAGCCATATTTATGCCACTACACTCTAGCCTGGGCAACAGAGCAAGACCCTGTCTAAAAAAAAAAGGTAAGGAGGAAGGAAACTCAGGGGGTAGAGGGGATGAAATTACTACTTCTCTCTTTTATTAGGACCATTTCAGAACCCAAAATGGCTTCTGAATGTATCCATGTTACACAACCATTTCAATTCTAGCGAAGAATTTTTGCCAGTAATATTCTATATTAAATTTACTAAGGCCTCCTTCCATACTGTTAGCCGTACTTCCTTCTCTCTTGTTTATGCTGGAGTCTCTAATTTATCTTTTCAAGGAACCTACCCAAATGTCTTTGCTCCACATTTCTTCAGCATATATATTTTTAATCTGCTTCATGACATTTTATTCCTCTTGATAATTTTCATGTTCCTCAAAGATGTTCTACTCCAGCAGATTAACTATACTGTTTTCAAGGGCAAATAGTTGTCCTTTATGACATTTCTATTTTCCTAACACCAAACAGGAATGTGTTTTTCCATGGAATAGATATTTAATAAAGTCTTTCTTTGTAATGTTTTTAGGGTTTTTTTTAAATAGATGATTTATTTACAAGTCAGAAAATCCTAGTAAAAATGGTCCCATCCTTGTCTTCAGTCTACTCAGTTTCTAATGCTCCTCCTGTAGATAACCACTATTAGTTTTTTATCCTCTGTACTTAGTATCCTTCCAGAGTAACTTATGAATATATAAGTAAATGCACATATGTATTATATTCCTCTTTTTAAATAAAAGTTAATAAATTATATATAAATATATTGAGAAAGTCCTAATACTTTTTTAGCTGTACAGTATTCCATTTGTATGGATATACCATGATTTATTTAATCAGTTCCCCTAACAATTAACACTATTAATTATGTTGTTTCCAGTCATCTGCTCTTATAGATAATGCTGCAGTGAATACTTGGTATACATGTCATTTCATGGGTATGCAAGCATATTTGTAGGATAAATTTCACTTATAGTGAAATTATTGAGTAGAGGGTATATGCATTTGTAATTTTGATATTGCTAAATTTTCCTTCATAGAAGTTGTACCAGGCTAGGTACAGTGGGTCTCACCTGTAATCCCAGCACTTTGGGAGGCCAAGGCAGGAGGATAGCTTGATTTCAGAAATTGGCAACATAGAGAGACCCCATCTCTAATTTTTAAAAAAAAAATTTTTTAAAGAAGTTGTACCACTTGACATTCCCACCAACAACATTGAGTGTGCTCATTTCCCCATGGCCTCCCTAACAGATAATATAATCAAACTTTGGGAATTTGCCATTCTGATAGATGAAAAAACAATATGTCACTGTGGTTTTAATTTGTAATTTTTTCATTATGAATGAGATTGAACATATCAGATGTTTAAAGGGCACACATGCTCATTTATTTTCTTCAGACCATCTGATCACAGATTTTTGCCCATTTTTATTTTGTGGTTATTATTTTCTATAAATTTCTTCTTCTTTTTTTTTGAGATGGAGTCTTACTTTGTCACCCAGTCTGGGGAGTGCAGTGGCGCGACCTTGGCTCACTGCAACCTCTGCCTCCCAGGTTCAAGTGATTCTCCAGCCTCAGCCTCCTGATTGGCTGGGATTACAGGCACATGCCACCATGCCTGGCTAATTTATGTATTTTTAGTAGAGGCAGGGTTTCACCATGTTGGTCAGGCACCCGCCTTGGCCTCCCAAGGTGCTGGGATTACAGACATGAGCCACTGTACCCGGCCTATTTTCTAACAGTTCTTTATATATTAGGGTAACAATCCCTTTGGCTGTGGTGCCAGTTGCAGACTTTTTTTTTTCTCAAATTTGTTCTTTGTCTTTTGATTTTTAAGGTGATTGTTTTGCCATCCATAAATTTTCTGTTTTATTTAGCTGAATTTATCTATTTTCTTACAGCCTCTGGATTTTGAGTCATAGTAAAGGTCATTCACACTCTCAGGTTATAAAGGACTCTTTCCAAGTTTTTTGTTTGTTTGTTTGTTTGTTTCTGAGACAGAGTCTCAGTCTGTCGCCTGGGCTGGGCTGGAGTGTAGTGGCTTGATCTCGGCTCACTGCAACCTCTGCCTTTTGAGTTCAAGCGATTCTCCTGCCTCAGCCTCCCGAGCAGCTGGGATTACAGGCACCCACCACTATGGCCAGCTAATTTTTTGTATTTTTAGTAGAGACAGGATTTCACCATGTTGGCCAGGCTTGTCTCGAACTCCTGACCTTGTGATTTGCCTGCCTCAGCCTCCCAAAGTGCTGGGATTATAGGAGCGAGCCACTAAGCCCGGCCTCTTTCCAAGTTTTTTAAGGTCTCTGTGTTTTTGTTTCTGTTTTTTTAACATTTAAATCTTTTACCCATTTAGAGTTTATTCTGGTATACGTGTAAGGAGGATGCCCTGCTTTTTTTTCAGGTAGTTAGCTATTTGATCCAACAATAGTTATTAAACCATCCATCTTTATCCCCTGATTTGAGATACCGCCTTCATAATATACTAAATTTCTACATATATTTGTATCTGTTTCAGAACCTTCCCTTTTACTCTGTTGGTATGTGTTTCTTTTTATACATTAATATCATGCCTATATTTTTTTTTTTTTTTGAAATGAGGTCTTACTCTGTCACCCAGGCTAGATTGCAGTGGTGTGATCTCTGCAGCCTCCACTTTCCAGGCTCAAGCAATCCTCCCACCTCAGCCTCCTGAGTAGCTGGGACCACAGGCAACACCAACATGCCCGGCTAATGTTTTGTATTTTGGTAGAGATCGGGTTTTGCCATGTTGCCCAGGCTGGTCTTGAATCCTGAGCTCAAGTGATCCACCTGCCTTGGCCTCCCAAAGGCTGGGATTACAGGCATGAGCCACAGTGCCTGGCCTATCATGCCATTTTAATTGAGGCTTTACCATATTTGAATATTTGCTAAGGTGACTTTCTTTCATTGCTTTTCTATTTATTCATTTTTATTTTAAAAATTATTTTAGGGCCGGGCGCGGTGGCTCAAGCCTGTAATCCCAGCACTTTGGGAGGCCGAGGCGGGTGGATCACGAGGTCAAGAGATCGAGACCATCCTGGTCAACATGGTGAAACCCCATCTCTACTAAAAATACAAAACATTAGCTGGGCATGGTGGCGCATGCCTGTAATCCCAGCTACTCAGGAGGCTGAGGCAGGAGAATTGCCTGAACCCGGGAGGCAGAGGTTGCAGTGAGCCGAGATCGCGCCATTGCACTCCAGCCTGGGTAACAAGAGCGAAACTCCGTCTCAAAAAAAAAAAAAAATTATTTTAGACATTTAAACTATTTTTATTTTTATTTTTATTTATTTGCAGATTTCTGACTACTTTTGCTTCCCCCTACTCCCATATGAACTTTGAAATCAGTTTGTCTAGTTCCAGAAATAAACAAGTTGGTAGTTTCATTGGGCATCTTTTACATTTATAAATCAACCTTAGGGAGTAATTGATTCTTTTTTTCTTCATTTAGTTTTAGTTTTAGTTTTTAATTTTTATTTTAGGTTCAGGAGTATATGTCCTGGTTTGTTATATAGGTAAATTGCATGTCACAAGGGTTTGCTGTTCAGATAATTTCATCACCCAGCTAATAAGCATAGTACCCAATAGGTGTTTTTTCTGGTCCTCTCTCTCTGACAAACGAATCTTTTAAGTTGTATTTTTTCTTCTTTTTGGTTTCTTTCTATTAATTTCGATTGTTATAATATCAATAATTAGTTTTAGTGAAGATATTTAATCTAATTTTCCATCTTAATGCTGGGGAGGCGGAAAACTTTCAGCAAGGGAAATCCCCTGGCATGTTTCCCAAAACTCTTATCTTCTTTACCTTACTCCTTGTGAAAGTTTTTCCAGGAGTCTTCAGTGTCTGTTTTGAAGATGTTGAATTTTCCATGGTGTCAGGACAGCTAGTAGAATATGTTTCTATAAATTGGGCCTGCATACCTTAAGAAAAAAAAAAAAAGGAGTGACTATATATTATGGGTTTTTAAAATGTTTATGTTTTTTTTAGAGAAAGTACTACCACTTACAATCTTCATCGGCAAGAATGAAGGACTCTAGAGTTCTTTCTGGGAGAGGAGGTGGGGGAGAAGAACGATCTTGATGTAGTTCTGTGATAAGAAAGTACAGAGAAATCTATGAATTAAAAGTCAAAAGTCAACACCCTTTTTGGCTTTATATAATTTTTTTAAATCAGTCAATCTTAACCTACAATCACCAAATAAAAAATTATCTGAAAAATGAATGGAGCCTCAGGAACTTTGTTTTTCTACCTTGTTAGCCAATGAGCTTATGATTCATCAAAAATGTATAGCTCACTTCAGAATTATTCTTCCAAAGACACTGAAACTGAATATAATCAAACTTCTAGAGCTAACAACCATTTTGCATGAATGTTGGGGATAGGGGAACATGTTAAATAAAACCATCACGATACAATTAGCCAAATCCAGAATGTTAAGCAGTCTTTTAAGACAAATGACCAACTCTCTTCAACAAATAAATGGTGTGAAAAAGTATAGAAAGGAGAACTGTTATATATGTTAAAAGAAAATATAAAGAAAGGAGAACTGTTACAGATTTCAAGACAGATTTAAGAAGACAAACATATAAACCAAATGCAATGTTTAGATTTTGTTTGAATTCAGATTTGAATAAACCAACTGTAAAAAGACATTTTTGAGACAAAAACTGAACACTCTGGATATTAGTTACTGTCAAGGAATTATTATTAATTTTATTGGTGTGATAATGCTATCATGCTAGGTTTTAAATGTGTATTTGAAATTTTCCATAAAATGAAGATTTTCAATAATGGACATATTCTCCCATGATGTAAATTTCTCAAAATACAGATGGTATTCTACCAACATAAGCATCTCATTGTATAGTGCTGAGTATTATTGTTATATTAATTCCTTTTGAAAATGAAATGCAGTAAAGTACAAGAGGTTCACATGTCATTGGTCATTAGGTTTGTTTAGTTCTTAGAGTTTGTCTTATCAATAGTGTTACTTCTCACATGCTGGGTAATACACAAAAGTACAGTACTTATTTCTAGCACCAAGTAAAATAACTGGCATACAATAGACATTTAATAAATACTTAATAACTACTCTGAAGTAGTTCATTATCTCCCAGTTTGCTGTTAGGAGTATTCTGAAAACTAAAGTTGTTCGTTAACAATCTTCTAGTAAATATCTCCCTAAAATACCATTTCATCTTAATACTCCCCTGACAAAGAACCCATAACACCTGTTATTTATGGCATTAAATCTAAATTCCTCTGCCTAACTTTGGGTGTATGTGGTAAAATATGCATAAAATTTGCCATTAGTGACATTTAGCATATTCACAGTACTGTACAATCATCACCACTATTTAGTTCCAGTACATTTTGATCACCCTAGAAGGAAACTCTGCACCCATTAAGTTGTCGCTCTCTATTTTCCTCTTTCCCTTGGCTCCTGGCAATCACTAATCTGCTTCTGTCTTTATGGATCTGTCTATCCTGGTTATTTCATCTGACTAGCTTTTATAAGTCCTTCAGAATCTTGCCCCACATCTTATTTGCCCAAATTTAATTTCTATATTTCACAAACTAGAATATCTATTGCAATAAAAAATAACTCAGCTGGGCATGGTGGCTCACACCTGTAATCCGAGCACTTTGGGAGGCCAAAGCAGGCAGATCACCTGAGGTTGAGAGTTTGAGACCAGCCTGACTAACATGGAGAAACCCCCATCTCTACTAAAAATACAAAATTAGCTGGGCATGGTGGGGCATGCCTGTAATCCCAGCTACTTGGGAGGCTGAGGCAAGAGAATTGCTTGAATCTGGGAGGTGGAGGTTGTCGTGAGCCAAGATTGTGCCATGGCATTCCAGCCCGGGCAACAAGAGCAAAAATCCGTCTCAAAAAATAAAATAAAATAAAATAAAAAATAACCTATTCTCCATACACATCATGCTCATTTCTACCTTTGAGTCACTGTTAGGCTGATCCCTGTTGCTGGAATTCCCTCCTTTTTTCTGTCTATAGAAATTATTTAAAGTTCTTTCTTCCACTCAGCAAAGCTTTTCCAAACCCTTTCAGTTATGGCATCCTGTTTTTCCAGATTCCTGGTGATTATAGCTAGTGCCACACAGATTATCACTTAGTGGTTCCATGTGAGTATTAATTTTATCTACATTTGAATATAAGCATTAAGTAGTACTCTTTCTTATACATCCTGCCTATTCTAACACTGTGTAAGGTACACAGAAGTGGCTTAGTAAAATGCTCATTTAACAATGAATAAAAATTATAATTTATAATATTTAAGGAGTATTTATTTGACAAGCACTGGGCTAAAAGCTTTATGGCATTATCTTATTTAATCCTCATAAAAATTATCTAAGGGATTCTATTATTCTCCTTTTATAAATGAGAAAAGCAGATAGAGAAAGTAGGTAATTTAACCAAGGTTACACATTTTGATAATTCTTCATAGACTGGGGATTTGAGTTAAAGCCTATCTGACTCTAAAGCCCATGTTTTTGTTATCATTTTTGGGGAGGGGTTTTGTTTTGTTTTGTTTCGTGATGGAGTCTTGCTCTGTCGCCAGGCTGGAGTCCAGTGGCAAGATCTCAGCTCAGTGCAACCTCCACCTCCCAGGTTCAACCAATTCTCCTGCCTCAGCCTCCAGAGTAGCTGGGACTACAGGCGCACACCACCATGCCCAGCTAATTTTTGTATTTTTAGTAGAGATGGGTTTTCACCATGTTGGCCAGGATGGTCTCCATCTCTTAAACTTGTGATCTGCCCGCCTTGGTCTCCCAAAGTGCTAGGATTATAGGTGTAAGCCACCGCGCCCAGCCTATTATCATGTTTTTTAGAGACATCATCTTGCTCTGTCATCCAGGCTGGGTGCAGTGGTGCCATCATAGCTCACTGCAGCCTTGAACTCCTGGCAAAGCCCATGTTTTTTAACCTTTATGTTATCTGTTTATGTGTTTGAACAATATGACAATATGAATAAGTATGTTAAGGGCAACTACCACCTGTGATAATGTAAACAAAGTTTACATTATCAAATTAATTTGTTCTTCAATGCATAAAAGGCAAAGCTTAGGAAAGTACTGGAGAGGCAACAGCCAACTAAAGAACTACGTGGCCAGAAATAATTTTTTGAATCACACTGTTAACAGTGGAAACATCTATATAATGGAAATGCTGCAAAATTTTAAAAGCTTCTCTCTGAAATAGTTTTTAAATGGTTATATATTAAGGAGCAGAATTCTAAAATCCTGTCTTCACCTTGCTTTTAACCAAATTTCTAGTCTGGGAAAACCAGAAATAAATCAATAAATATGGAAGCTATTATGGGAACCAAGTAACTTCATGAGGTGAATTACTCTAAACTTAATGAACCTTTCTTAGACTCTTAGAGCTAAATGTCATCTAAAGCCAAGAGAAATTTTTACCTGATTTAGGACTTCGAAATTTTACACTCTAAAAGAAAAAAAGAAAGGAAAAGTGAAAGAAGAATATGTATACAAATTATAAAATTCAAAGCAAAAAATGGCATCTTTGAAATTATATTTCAGATAGTTTTGAAATATAGACCCTATTTTTCCTAATATGTAAGTGTGCTGAATTATGAAATAGCATCCTTCACTCTTACAATGATTTGTATATACCATGGCAATTAGTCCTAAGTTGATCCCCTTCTGACTTATTTCTGTCCCACCTAAAACATTTCCCTGGCCAGGTGCGGTGGCTCACGCCTGTAATCCCAGCACTTTGGGAGGCCAAGGTGGGTGGATCACGAGGTCAAGAGATCAAGACCATCCTGGCCAACACGGTGAAACCCCGTCTCTATGAAAAATACAAAAATTAGCTGGGTCTGGTGGTGCGCATCTGTAGCCCCAGCTGCTTGGAAGACTGAGGCAGGAGAATCGCTTGAACCTGGGAGGCAGGGGTTGAAGTGAGCCAAGATCGCACCACTGCACTCCAGCCTAATGACAGAGCAAGACTCTGTCTCAAAAAAAAAAAAAAAAAAAAAAAAAAAAAAAAAAAATTCCCTGCAAATTTAGAGGTAAGGAGCAGAAATTGAAGTTGCTTCATAACATTGGAAAGAGTGATTGTTCTTTCCTCTGGGAGGTGTTAAGATAAATATGTGTGCCTATTATTAATGGCAATAATAATGATTACTAGTATGTTAGAATTATAATTTAAAAGGCAGATAATATTTGCTTATCAGCTTTGCAATTGTATGTTCTTGAAAATGTTTGTTTAATTATTTTTCTGATCTCTCAAATTTTAAGAGAATTGGTTCACAGAATACATAGAAATGTATAACATTTTTAGATACACTTTCCTCCAGAAGCAGGATACACTATTCTAAAAGGTTTATCTTAAGTAATATGCACACCTGTCATTCTCTGTAACATATTATCACAGCTAACAAGATACAGCCTGACAAATGACTACAGTGAACAAGCTTCCTACTTAAGTATGAAACATTTATTTTTGCCTTAACTATCCTTCAAGAATCAGCTCAAATGTTTCCTCTTGCACTAAATCTTCCTTGATAACTTCCAACCTGGAGGCATCCCCCACACTTGAAATTCTTTATCTTTCATATGACATCAATCATATTGGCCTTGCTATAGTAAATATAGGAAAAATAAAGATGTGTACTCATCCTATATCTCTACTACTAGACAAGAAGCTTCTTACAGGCAAGAATTGTGTCTTATACATCTTTTTTATCCCAACATCCTCTAGCACAATGTTTTATATGTAGTATGTGCTTAGGATTTATTGAATGATGGGTATTAAAAATATAAGGAGTAGATCTGTAGTCTATTGAATTTAAATGAACAGAGCCATAAAAAAATTATTGACCTTGCTTTGTCTAAGTATCACAGAGTCATCAAATTTCTTTGGTCCAGATGTTCCACCCCATTCCAGTGATGTTCCAATTTTTACCTTCACAGTCGAGGATAAGGATTTGGGAACATTTGGTGAGAATTCTTCTGTAAGAAAGTGAACGTGGTTCAGTTCTTGGGAGTAGTCTTCTTTTAGAAATCAAATGTTGCTCAGCAAATAGTACATAAAACATTGAAAGGACCTTAGAATAAATCTAATTAGTTCATACTTTATATTTTGAGACAGGGTCTCACTCTATCACCCAGACTGGAGTGCAGTGGCACAATCATGGCTCACTGCAGCCCCCAACTCCTGGACTCAAGTGATCCTCTCACCTCCACTTTCCAAGTAGTTGGGACTACATGTGCATGCTGCCATTGCTCTGCTAAATTTTTAAAAAAGTGTTTTTTTAGAGATGAGATCTCACCATGTAGCCCAGGCTAGTCTTGAACTCCTGGCCTCAATGAACTCCTTGAACTCAAGGCTCCCACATCAGCCTCCCAAAGTCCTGGAATTAAAGGCATGAGCCACCATGTCCAACCCACACTTTATTTTATACTTACTGAACTGTACTCACCAGCTTCCTCAACCACAATAAATGATTCAGGTGTCCGTACAGGAAGTGGAGGGGGGATTTCATCATCTATCCTTGGAGCAGTTGCTATCCAAAATGTGAGAAATATGGTAACAATTGTTAATTAGAACAATCTGAAATAAATTTTTATATTCTAATAGTAAATACAAATTTACCATAATTTATATTTAAATTCCATTGACCCACCATTATCAGTAAGCTGGCACTTGTTCATTCAAGGAAAAAGCAAAATAAATTCTCTTAAGGTACAAACTCAGGAGGTTTTTGCTTATTCTTTAAAATTTATTGTTTGTTTTAAAAGCTCAAAAATATTTTGATTGAGTCACAGGGTGTCAGTTAACATAAAACATATTAATTTTGGAAGCTTTGAATTATCTTTTACATAACTCCTTTTGTTTTACATAGACTATACAATAAAGCATTATAAAGTGCTTTGACATGTCAAAGGTTCAGTTATACATTAATTAAAACATAAAAATTCTTAGTATTTCTTCACTATATACAAAATCCAAGAATATTGGCATTTTTCTGTTTTACAAAACAGTAGTATAGGATTGTTTTCTGTATTTCTATACAGAGTTTTTATTAAGCATTTTAAATGCTATTATAAGAAACTGCCACCAGATGGCACATGATGATATTTTTATAATCCCTTGAAAATAAGGGTTTGTTTTTTAATGCTGCAGATGCTCAGAGAAGTCTACGGTATTTTGAGTATCTAGGAAAAGAAAATACATTTAAGTGTTTAAAAATGTATAAAATAATCACAGAAGGACCTTCTTAGATCCAGATAAAATATTTTGGCAACAAAGTTATAAATGATCTACACATCTATTTATTAAGAAACTCTATAATAAATAATGTTATAGAGCAAAAGTTTTCTCCACCTCCTATCTATGTAGAATGTGCTTTATAAATTATTTGATGATATACGTAAGGAGTTAAACTTGTTCTTTGCTTTCCCTCATTATCTTCCACATCAAATTATTGTAATCATCACAGGATGTTCATTTCTAATTTCCAACTAATCAGTAAAACAAAACAATATGCATTATATACAAAAATACAGATTTATAAAAGAGATAAAACATGAAAGTAAAGGCATACATAAGATAGAATTTTTCACAAAATACTAAACATGTATTCTCATCTACTAAATTACTACAAAAGGGCAAGAAATCAGGTTGTCCTCTTCCAGCTCCTACAGGAAGAGAATTCAATTTTTAGCAATATGTTCAACTCATTATAGCCACATAATTGTGTAACAAAAATTCTGGGTGGCCATGTAGTGCTATTGATCAAATTTTTTTCTGCTCTTCTTTTGCGAGCTGGTTCTATATGTTAGTAGTAAATTCTGAAGGTAGGTGTGGCGACTTGCACCTGTAATCCCAGCACTTTGGGAGGCCAAGGTGGGAGGATTGCTTGAAGCCAGATGTTCAAGAACAGCCTGGGCAACATAGCAAGACCCAATTTCTAAAAAAAGAAAAATTAGCCAGGCACGGTGGCGTGTCCCTGTGGTCCCAGCTACTCAGGAGGCTGAAGTGGGAGGATCGCTTGAGCCCAGGACATCACGGCTGCAATGAGCAATGTTCATACCACTGCACTCAAGCCTGGACAACATAGTGAGATTCTGTTTCAAAAAATATTTTTGAAAAACAGTAAATTGTGGGCCTTTGATATACATTTCTAGGAGTGAGGCTTGCCTTCTTGAGAAGTGCTCCTGTTGGTACAGATCCTTTACCAGATCTTGATTGCCTCCATTGCTGCCTGTTTCATGGAATGTTACATGTTTCGTGTTGCTATTTTCAACTTAGTACATCATTAAAACACTCCCAGAATTTATTTATTTGAGGAGTAGCAGGAAGAAGAAAGGGAAGCAGAGGAGAAGAGGGAAGATGAAGAGAAACCAAATATTCTATAGAAACAAAGTGAAACCTAAAATTCTATACAAACTTTAAAAAATAACTTACCTACTACAGCTGACTCTTGGTTCAGTAGTGGGGGAATACTGGTTGGAGAATTCAGTGATAAAGAATCATGTGAATTGCAACAAGAAAAGAGGGATGTAGAGGATGTTGGCAACAAAGAACAGGGCAAAACAGTTCCATCTTGCTTCTCAGGTAAATCAAGAGACATCTTAGAACCGGTACCACTTGGAGGCAATGTTGAAAAATAAGGATCTTCCGCTAAAGATATGTAAGAATATACACCAAGAACACCGGGGTCACAGTGCTTTACATTAGAGACGTTACATATTTGGTGCTTAGATTCATACGGCAGTGAATAATTCAGTTCTGCTGAAGAAACGTGCATTACTTTTTGAGCCTGCATCTTTACAAAACAAGAATCCTGTGGTTGAGATTCCAAATAAGAAAAGTTTTCCTTGCCATCCAACTCCTTGGTTTCTGTCTGCTGTATCAATTCAAAAGGAGTTGATTTGGTCCGTGTTATTGGCACCTTTGAATTAAAATATCTTCCTGCTGCATTTACAGGTTTAGAATTAGAACATGCTTCAAACAAAATAGAGCCCAAATCTAAACTTTGATGCTTCTGAAGAGGTTCCCCAACTGTTGGAAATGCATTTGTCTGCCATTTCATGGTTGTGTCAGCATTTTTGTTGAAACCATAATTTAGCTCCAGAAAGTCAAAAGAAGTGCTTAATTTAGTAGGATGCAAAACTAGCTCTTCCTCTGCACTTTTTTCAGAAGTCCTAGAGTCAAAGGAAGAAGATTCTGTGCTTTCCTTTTTTGTCCTTTGTTTGCTCTGTTGGTCCATCATTTTTGCTGCCTTTATGGCACTAAAACAAAAAGAAAGCATAATGATGATACCATACCCCAAACAGGCATCTTCCTAGCATCACAATGATGTATAAGTATGAGATTCATCTCCCAGACACAATTAGTCAATGTTTAGGTATATAAAATTGTACTCACCTTTTTGGTAAATTAGGAGAGTAAGAGTCTGCTTGGAGAGTGTGATTTTGCTCAGGAATAGAATACTTTGCTTGACTCTTTAAAAGAAATAAGTCAGAGGCTGGTTTTTAGTGAAGCAATGTCAATGAGATATTTTAATATTTAGAAGGCTGAAAAGTAATTTTTCAGGAAATATAAATATTTAAAATAATTCATGAAAGGGTTAGATTAGCTTCCAAAATATTGAACTCAGCAAGAACTTGTTCATATACTGAGATGACCATAATAAAGGATTAATCGTGTTACAGAAACTAGAAAGGATTTGCATATATCATCATCTTTTCAAATGTCGGAGCTTTTAAAATGTTCTTTAGTGGGTAATTTCAGTCTCAAAAACACTCTTCCTTTAGAAATCTCAGCGTCTCAGCCCTTTATAGGTACTTAATAGGTCTCTGGACCTATTTCATCTTGTTCTACTCTTGTCCTTCTTACTATGCTCCAGGTATACTGGTTTTCTTGCCATTACTTAGCATGCCAAACTTATTTCCAAGTCAAGGCTTTTATACTTACTATTTTCCCTGATTAATATATTTTTGCTCCAAATTTTGCATGCCTAGCTTTTTCTAAATAATTAGAGCTCTGCTTAACTGTTATCTGCATAAGGAAACCTTCCCTGATCACCCAACCTAAAATCATACTTCTGCCCCTATCCAGCCATACTCAATCTTCTGTTTTAAGAGACAGGGCCTCTCTATATTGCCCAGTCTGGCCTCAAACTCTGGGCGTAAGCAGTCCTCCTGCCTCAATCTCCCAAGTAGCTGGGACACTATAGGTGTGTACCACAGTGCCTGGCTTCAATCTTTTTTTTAAAATAAGACAGGCTCTTGTTCTGTTGTCCAGGCTAGAGTGCAGTGGCACAAACATGGCTCACTGCAGCCTCAGTCTCCTGGGTTCAAGTGCTGTTCTCACCTCAGCCTCCCAACCTTTATTTTTATTTTTAAGACAAAGTCTCTCTCTATTGCCAGGCTGGAGTGCAGTGGTGTGATCTCAGCTCACTGCAACCGCCACCTTCCAGGTTCAAGCGATTCTCCTGCCTCAGCCTCCTGAGCAGCTGGGACTACAGGCACGTGCCACCACACCTAGCTAATTTTTGTATTTTTAGTAGAGACGGAGTTTCACCATGTTGGCCAGGATGGTCTCGATCTCTTGACCTAGTGATCCTCCTGCCTAGGCCTCCCAAAGTTTTGAGATTCAGGTGTAAGCCACTGTGCCCAGCCCAATCTTTATTTTTTATAGCAATTATCATATTATGAAATTTGTTACTGTGATTCATAGAATCTTAAGATACCATTGGTTATAAAATATATCTTCATTTCAGAGATGTTAAAATCCACTTTGAACATCTCAATTGATGCAGAAAAAGCATTTGATAAAATTCATGTTGAAATCACTTCACAAAATAGGAATATAAGGAAATTTTCTCAACATAATAGAGGCCATATATAAAACCCATAACTAACATTATATTCAATGGTGAAAGGCTTAAAGCTTTTCCCCTAAGATCAGGAGCAAGACAAGATTGCCAACTTTCACCACTTCTGTTCAACATAGTACTAAAGTTCTACTCAAAGTAATTTTTTAAAGTAATTTTTTTCTTAGGCAAGGAAAAAAAGGCATCCAAATTGGATAAAAAAGGCTGGGCACAGTGGCTTACGCCTGTAATCCCAGCACTTTAGGAGGCCGAGGCAGGTGGATCCCTTGAGTTCAGGAGTTTGAAACCAGCCTGGCCAACATAGTGAAAGCCAGTGTCTACTAAAAATACAAAAATTAGCTGGGCATGGTGGTGCACACCTGTAATCCCAGCTACTTGGGAGGCTGAGGCAGGAGAATTGCTTGAGCCCAGGAGGCAAAGGTTGAAGTGAGCCAAGATCGTGCTACTGCACTCCAGCCTGGGTGACAGAATGAGACTCCATCTCAAAAAAAAAAAAAAAAAAAGGAAGTAAAATTATCTCTATTCTTAGATGACATGATTTTATATATGAGATTCCACAAAAAAATCTGCTAGAGCTTATAAACAAATTCGACAAAGTTGCAGGATATAAAATGAACACACAAAACGAGTTGCATTTCTGTATATTAGCAATGAACAATTTGAAAAGAACATTAAGGAAACAGTTCTACTTATAACGGCATCACAAAGAATAAAATACTTAAGAATAGATTTAACCAAGGAGGCAAAAAACTTGTATACAGCAAATTATAAAGCCCTGCTGAAAGAAATTAAACAAGACATAAATAGACATTCTCTGTTCAAGGAGTGGAAGATTTATTACTGGTAACATAGCATTACTACTCAAATTGATCTATAGGTACAGTGCAATTCTAATCAAAAGCCCAATGGCATTTTTACATAATTTGTTTAAAAACCAGACTAAAATTTATGGAATCTCAAGGGACACTGAATAGTCAAACCAATCTTGAAAAAGAAGAACAAAGTTGGATGACACACTACCTGATTTCAAAAATTGCTACAGAGCTGCAGTACTCAAAACAATGTGGTACTGGCATAATATAGACTAAAGACCAATGGAATAGAATATAGAGCCTAGAAAAAAACACTCACATATAGTGAGCAATTGATTTTTGACAAAAGTGCCAAAACATTTAATGGAGAAAGGGGAGTGTTTTCAACAAACGGTTCTGGGAAAAACTGAATATCCACATACAAAAGAATGAAGTTGGGGCCAGGCTAGGTGTCTCATGCTTGTAATCCCAGCACTTTGGGAGGTCGAGGCGGACAGATCACCTGAGGTCAGGAGTTGGAGACCAGTCTGACTAACATGGAGAAACCCAGTCTCTACTAAAACTACAAAGTTATCCGGGCATGATGGCGCATGCCTGTAATCCCAGCTACTCTGGAGGCTGAGGCAGAAGAATCACTTGAACCCAGTAGGCAGGGGGTGCAGTGAGCCAAGATTGTGCCATTGCACTCCAGCCTGGGCAACAAGAGTGAAACACAGTCTCAGAAAAAAAAAAAAAAAAAAAATGAAGTTGGACTTTTATCTTATGGCACATACAGAAATTAACTCAAAAATTGATCAAATACCTAAACATAAGAGGTAAAATATAAAAGTCTTACAAGAAAATGGGCAGGCTTCATGACATTGGTTTGGATTTGGTAATGATTTCTTGGATAGGACATGAAAAGCACAAACAACAAAAGAAAAATAGGAAAACTGGTGTTCATTAAGGTTTAAAACTTTTACACACCAAAGGACACAATCGACAGAGTAAAAAGGCAACCCACTGACTGAATGGCAGACAACATTTGCAAATCACATATCTGATAAGGGATCAGTATCCAGAATATGTAGAGAGCTAAAACTCAACAACATGTAAACAACTCAATTTTTTTTTTTTTTTTTTGAGACGGAGTGTCCCTCTGTCACCCAGGCTAGAGTGCAGTGGTGGGATCTCAGCTCATTGCAACCTCCGCCTGCTGGGTTCCAGCAATCCTCCTGCCTCAGCCTCCCAAGTAGCTGGGATTACAGGCACACGCCACTACACCCAGCTAATTTTTGTCTTTTTAGGAGAGACGGGGTTTCACCATGTTGGCCAGGCTGGTCTTGAACTCCTGACCTCAGGTGATCTGTCCACCTTGGCCTCCCAAAGTGCTGGAATTACAGGTGTAAGCCACCTCATCCAGCCTCAATTTAAAAATGAGGAAAAGCTGGGCACAGTGGTTCATGCTTGTAGTCCCAGCCAGTGGGGAGTTGGAGATGGGAGGATTTCTTGAGGCCAGGAGTTCAAGGCTAGCCTGGGCAACATAATGAGACCCTGTATCTAAAAAAAAGTTTAAAAAAATTAGCTTGGTGTGGTAGTGCGTACTTATAGTTCTAGCTACTCAGGAGCTGAGGTGGGAGGATCACTTAAGGCCCAGGAGTTCGAGCTGCAGTGAACCATGATGATGCCACTGGACTTCAGCGTGGATGACAGAGCAAGATCCTGACTAAAGAAAAAAGGGGGATTGGCCGGGTACAGTGGCTCATGCCTGTAATCCTAGCACCTTGGGAGGCCGAGGCAGGCAGATCAACTGAGGTCAGGAGTTCGAGACCAGCCTGACCAACATGGAGAAACCCCATCTCTACTAAAAATACAAAAAATTAGCCAGGTGTGGGGGTACATGCCTGTAATCCCAGCTATTCCAGAGGCTGAGGCAGGATAATTGCTTGTACCCAGGAGGTGAAGGTTAAGGTGAGCCGAGATGGTGCCATTGCACTCCAGTCTGGGCAACAAGAGCGAAACTCCGTCTCAAAAAAAAGGGGAAAATAGGTGGTGAGTGGGGGAGAACAAAGGACTTGAAGACACATTTTTCCAAAGAGGATATACAAATGGCCAACAAGACCATAGAAAGGTGTTTAATCATTATGAAAATGTAAATCAAAATCACAATGAGATACCATTTTACACCTAATTAGGATGGCTACCATCAAAAAAACAGAAAATAAAGTGTTGACCGGGATATAGAACCCTTGTGTACTGTTGGTGGGAATGTAAACTGGCACAGATGCTATGGAAAACAGTATGGCTGTTCTAAAAAGAAAACCTAAACATAGAATTACCACTTGTAATTCCACTTCTGGGTTCTACCCAAAGTAATTAAAAGCAAGGATATAAAGAGATATTTGTACACCCGTGGTCATCACAGCATTACAACAACCAGAAGGTAGAAAGAACTTGAGTACCCACTTATGGATGAATGGATAAACAAAATGTGTGTGTGTGTGTGTAAACATATACAATGGAATATTATTCAGCCTTAATGGGTAAGAAAATCCTGACACATACTACAACATGGATGAACCTTGAGGACATTAAGCTAAGTGAAATAAGCCAGACACAAAAGGACAAACATTTTATAATTCCACCTATGTCAGGTACCTAGAGTAGTCAAATTCATAGAGAAGAAAGTAAAATGATCATTGCCAGGGGCCAGTGGGAGAGGAGAATGGGCAGTTATTGTTTAATAGATACAGAGTGTTTAGAATAATGAAAGTTCCAGAAATAGTGATAGTAACCGAACATTGTAAATATACTTAATGCCACTGTATTATACACTTAAAATGGCTAAAATAGTAAATTTAAACGATATATTGTACCACAAACAGTATCTCTTCCTCTTCTATTTCCTGGTATAGACTGTATGAAATTCGTGTTAATTCCTTAACCATTTGATAGAATTCTCTGGTGAAACTATGTGGGCCTGGAGATTTCTTTTTCTGGAGTTTTAAAATTACAAATTCAATTTTTCTAATCACTAAGTGGCTATTGAAATTACCTATGTCATGCTGAGTGAATTGTGGTAGATTACATTTGAGAAAATAATCCATTCTGGGCTGGGTATGGTGACTCATGCCTGTAATCCTAGCATCTTGGGGGGCCAAGGCAGGAGGATCCCCTGAGCCCAGGAGTTCAAGACCAGCCTGGGCAACATACGGAGACTCTGTCTCTATAAAAAATAAAAATTAAAATAAATAAAAATGAATATAATTCATTTTAGCTAAGCTGCAAATTTACATGCGTAGAGATGTTCATACTATTCCTTTATTACCATTTTTATATCTACAGGACCTGTAGCAATAGCTCCTATTTCATTCCTGATATTGGGAATTTTTATTTTCTCCCTTTTTATGTCAGTTTTTTAAAAGTTTGTCAATTTCATTGATCTTGTTAAAGAATCAATTTTCTGATCTTTAAAATAAAAACCAGGCTGGGCACCCTGGCTCATGCCTGTAATTCCAGCACTTTGGGGGGCCGAGGCAGGCAGATTACCTGAGTTCAGGAGTTCAAGACCAGCCTGGCCAACATGGTGAAACCTCGTCTCTACAAAAATACAAAAATTAGCTGGGCATGGTGGCACACATCTGTAGTCCCAGCTACTTGGGAGGCTGAGGCAGGAGAATTGCTTGAACCTGGGAGGTGGAGGTTGCAGTAAGCCAAGATCATGCCACTGCACTCCAGCCTGGGTGACAGAGTGAGACTCTGTTTCAAAAACAAACAAACAAACAAAAAACCCAAACCAATTCTGATTTTCTCTATTTTTTTTCTAATTTCATTGATTTCTGCTCTTTATTTCTTTTTCTATATTCTTGGAGTAAGAATTTAGATTATGGAGACCTTTACTGTTTTCTAATGCATGGACTTAGTGCTATAAAGTTCCCCCTCAGTACTGCTATAGCTTCTGTCTCATAAATTTTGATACGTTGTATTTTCATTTTTGTTTAATTCAGTGTGTTTTTTTGTTTCCTTTGAAACTTCCTTTTGACCCAATGGATTATTTAGACAAGTGTAGTTTGATTTCCAAGTATTTAGATACTTTCCTGTTACCTTTCTCTTACTAATTTTTTTTCTTTTTTAATTATTATTATTATTATTATTATTATTGAGACAAGGTCTCGCTCTGTCACCCAGGCTGCAATACAGTGGCACAATCACAGTTTACGGCAGCCTTGACTTCCCAGGGTCAAGCAATCCTTCCACCTCAGCCCCCCAAGTAGCTGGGACTATAGGCACATGCCATCACACCTGACTGAGTTTTTGATTTTTTGTGGAGATGAGGGTCCCCCTGTATTACCCAGGATGGTCTTGAACTCCTGGCCTCAAGGAGTCCTCCCACTTTGGCCCCTCAAAGTGCTGGGATTACAGGCATGAGCCACCATGCCTGATCTGTGTTACTGATTTGATTCCATTGTAGTCAGAAAATATATTCTATATAATTTCAATTCTTTTTTTTTTTTTTTTTTGAGACAGTCTCGCCCTATCAGCCAGGCTGGTGTTCAGTGACTCCATCTCGGCTCACTGAAACCTCCGCCTCCCAGGTTCAAGCGATTCTCCTTCCTCGGCCTCCCAAGTAGCTGAGATTACAGGTGCCCACTACCATACCTGGCTAATTTTTGTATATTTAGCAGAGACAGGGTTTTGCCAGGCTGGCCAGGTGGTCTCAAATTTCTGACCTCATGTGATCCGCTCACTTTGGCCTCCCAAAGTTCTGGGATTACAGGTGTGAGCCACTGCTCCCAGCCTAATTTCAATTTTAAAATTTTTTTCAAGTTTGTTTTATGGCTCAGGGTATACTCTATCTTGACATATATTTTCCACGAGCACTTTAAAAGAAGGAGTATTCTTGGCGAAGCACAGTAGCTCACTCCTGTAATCCCAGCACTTTGGGAGGCCAGGGCAGGCAGATCACAAGGTCAGGAGTTCGAGACTAGCTTGGCCAATATGATGAAACCCCCATTTCTACTAAAAATACAAAAATTGGCCAGGCATGGTGGCACATGCCTATAATCCCAGCTACTTGGGAGGCTGAGGCAGAAGAATCACTTGAATCCGGGGGGCAAAGGTCACAGTGAGCCTAGATCATGTCACTGTACTTCAGCCTGGGTGACAGAGTGAGACTCTGTCTCAAAAAAAAAAAAAAATGTGTATTCCTATGTTATTAGGTAGAGTGTTCTATAAATGTCAATTAGATTTTGTCTAATTCTATCAAAATTGTTGAAAGAAGAATATTGAAGTCTCTGGCTATGACTGAATTATCTGTTTCTCTCCTTTAAGTTCTTCACATATTTTGCAACTTCATTGTTTGGTCCATGTACATTTAGGACTGTTATAGCTTACTGGCAGATTGACCCTTTTATCATCATATAATGTCTTTCCCTATCTCTGATACTTGTCTTTGCTCTGAAGTCTACTTTATCTGATATTAACATAGCCATGCCTGCTTTCCTTTGATTCATGTTAACATGATATACATTTTTTCTATTCCTTTGTTTTTAGCCCTCTGATATATTTGAAGTGAGTTTCTCATAGACAACATATAGTTGAATTGTTTTTTAATTATCTATGCCAGGGCTGGGCGCGGTGGCTCACGACTGTAATCCTAGCACTTTGGGAGGCCGAGGTGGGTGGATCACCTGAGGTCAGGAGTTCAAGACTAGCCTGGCGATCATGGTGAAACTCCAGCTTAAAAAAAAAAAAAAGAAATAATTATCTATGCCAATCTGGCAATTCACTCTACCACCAGTAAATATTGGTGTATTTAGGCTTATATGTTTAATGTAATCATTAATTTAGTCAGGTTTCATTCTATTTTATTTTTTTGTTGTTGTTGTTTTCTGTTTCTCATTGCTCTTTTCTTTTTTCTGACATTTTCTCTTTCCTGTATTTTTTAGAATTCCATTTTTATTTACCTATAGTGTGTTTTCTTATATCTCTTTGTATAGCCTTTTTTTTTTTTTTTTTAGTCATGGCTCTAGATATAGATATAGATATACGGTATCACACTCTACTAGCTGGAGTGCAATGGTACAGTCTCGGCTCACTGCAACATCCACCTCCTGAGTTCAAGTGATTCTGCTGCCTCAGCCTCCTGGGTAGCTGGGATTACAGGCACCCACGACCGCACTCGGCTTATTTTTATATTTTTAGTAGAGATGGGGTTTCACCATGTTGACCAGGCTGGTCTTGAACTCCTGACCTCAGGCGATCTGCCCGCCTCGGCCTCCCAAAGTGCTGGGATTACAGGCATGAACCACCATGCCTGGCCATTTAAAAAATTTTTTTTGTAGAGACAATTATTATATTGCCGAGGCTGGTCTCAAACTCCTAGGTTCAAGCAGTCCTCCCACCTTGGTCTTCCAAAGTGCTGGGATTACAGGCATGAACCACCATACCCAGCCAAGAGATTATCTTTAAATTTTTATTTCTCTTTGAGACAAGGTCTCACTCTGTTGCCCGGGCTGGACTGCGGTGGTGCCATTTCAGCACACTGCAACTCCATCTAACAGTTTAAGCAATCCTCCTTCCTTAGCCTCCGGAGTAGCTGGGACTACAGGCACGCCCCACCACTCCCAGCTAATTTTTTTGAGTGTGTGTGTGGAGATGGGGTTTCACCATTTTGGCCAGGCTGGTCTTAAACTCCTGACCTCAGGTGATCCACCCACCTCAACCTCCCAAAGTGCTAGGATTACAGGCTCGAGCTACCAGGCCTAGTGAGATTAATTTTTTAAGTTAAATTACATCAAATTAATTTGTCCTTTTCCACAGGAAATATTCTGTGCACCCCTATGCACACCTAACACTCTCAATTTAGTTGTGACAAAAGATAAATCCTGCAACTAATCTAACATCCCTTGACCAAAAAAGCAAGTATGAAAAGTTTTTTGACGTATCTAGTTTAAACTTTACCTCTGTTCCAGAATGTTTATTGCTGATAACATCCATCTGTCTCTTAAATAGTTCTAATACAGCACTGTAGACCAGTTCATATTGTTCCTGAAGAGCATCACAACCCAGAACAAATGAAAACAAAAACAAAAAAGTTGGTGAACTACAGTACCAGATTTTAGAAATATAAACACCAATCAAATCCTAATACGGCAGACCCAACAGTACCATCAGCATGTTATTAAACTTAATAACAATGCCTTGTGCTTGTGTAGTCCACTTCAGATTTCAAAGCACTTTTATGCTGCTGAAAATAGGTAAATATTCGATACGCCTCTAACTAATGTTCAGGAATCTTAGGACTTGTTTCTTTTATGTTCTAACCCTACTTCCTTATCTTTTTCTCCACCATCATTCCTCTGTTTTCCTTGCTTACATTAAAAAAATTTATTTCATTCTAGATGGATTTTTTGTAAGCCCCCTTCATCTTTTCTGGAAAAAGAGATAGTGGTTGGTGTATATATAGTAACTTCAATATCTATGCTTTAATTTGGTCCTCACAATTGCTCTATAAAGTAGATAGGCAATTATACCTATTTACAAACAGTTTATCCAAGGTCATTCAGAAGGAATTTCCAGGACTTGGCTTAGAAATTTAATCTCCACACTCTTAGTTCAGTGCATTTAGATAAAGTTGCTAAAATTTCATTCTATTAAAGATACCAAAGAAAAGTAAAACACTGAATAAGGTCTGGAAATTTGTGGTTACAAAAGGATTTCACCATAGAGAAGCTGGACCTCTGATATTACAAGGTTTATGAGTTATTACTCCTCTGTTTTTGCCTCTCCCTGCTCAGGCACTTGATTTTGGACCTACTTTTTATCTGAATGGTTTTTCCCTGACACTTTACTCATTTCTGTATAAATAAAGAACAATTTTTTTCAAAGATAATTTTAGCAGGAAAAAATGCAGAGTCTATACCATCTAACACAGCTATTAGTCCAATCTTTAATTTTTTTTTTCTTTTTTTTTTTGAGACACAGTTTCACTGTGTTGCCCAGGCTGGAGTGCAGTGACTCAATCGTGGCTTACTACAGCCTCGACCTCCAGGATCAAGTGATCCTCCCACCTCAGCCTCTCAAGTAAGTTGGGACTGCAGGCACCTGCCACTATACCCTGCTGATTATTGTATTTTTTACAGAGACAGGGTCTCACTATGTTGCCCAGGGTGGTTTTGAACTCCTGGGCTCAAGCGATCCACCTGCCTGAGGAAGTGTGGGGATTATAGGCGTCAGCCACCACGTCTGGCTAATTTTTTTTAAGAAAGAAAAATCAAACAGGAAGCTCTCATCTGGTTACAGTGCCATTTCCTGGTTAGAGTAGTATCAGGAAAAACACCTAGAACTGTTAGGTTCAGTTAGTCTTTTGATAATGCCAAAATGTGAAGGCTTTTTTAGCTGTCTTCTAACTCTTAAAATTAGGCCTGAAATGGAATTTGTTTTTGAAAATGGGGTATGGTTTTATTAGTATTGCAATTTATATAACTAGGTTTCATACTTTTGGAGTCTTTATGCATTTACATGGATCAGCCTTCTTTCAAGTCTGACAGCATTAAACCAGCTAATGCTTTCATTTCACAAAAGCCTTCTCCTTCACAGGTTGAATATAGAAAACACCTACAGTCAACACATGAAAAGTTATTTTTTTCCACCAGCTATTAGTGGAAAACCTATGCAGGCCAAAGAGTTTTATATTATAATAGCTCTTTATTTTTTCCCTTCAATTCGCAGCTGCTAGCTTAATATATCTGAATTAACATTGTCAGTTGTTTTATCTCTAAAACTGTTTCCATCTTCATTTGTAAGTGTTTTAAACACTTTAAGTTCTTGCTATTTAAGTAGTCAAAAGTAGTTCTAACAAATTACACAAAAGTGCCTGTTAATAAACATCAATAAACATTTGATGATGAATGAATTCTAAATTCTATATTAAAAATGGAGACCACTTGAAAAACTAAAACTATTGGATAAAATTACTGGTATAGAAATATGGGTGAAATTAATATTGTAGACAGTGAGAGATTTGGGCTATGAGGAGAAGGGAAGACCATTCCTAATGCAGTAAACACGTGTGGGCAATATGGGGTAGGTTAAAAGATTGTGATACATAAATATAGCGTGGTTGTAATCATGGTTTTTTTAAAGTATGCAGTAGATGCACAAGTATGAGAGTTGTACAATAAGGATCAGGAGAAAGTGTGGCTATCTCTAGGTAATAGGAATATGGTTTTTATTTTTATTTTTCAGTGTTTATAAATGAGCACGTAGACTGAATTCTCCATATTCTGTTACCACATCCTGAGGTAGAAATTGTCAAATCCCTGATTTTCTATGCTTTCAGAGATGAATTTTATCACTACAAAATTTCAAGTTAACATGACCTACCTATTTCAAGTCAGCAAGTCAAACAGCTTGGTGAATAGTTTTACAACATCTTTTGTAAGGAAGTAAGTAATATTACATTGGTGTCTTAATATTTTCTGAACAGACAGTAAAATAAACAAATTTGACCCAGGACAAGGGATACAGGAGAAATACTGGGATATTCAGAATTAGAGAAAATGGCAATGGACTCTAGAGTACTTAATGGTAAACTGGTATTGTATCTGAGCAGTCAGCTGGTTTTGGATACTTCACCATTAAACATAGCGATGGAGCAAGACTCAGACACACATTCTGATCCATTCACTATAGTTCATACCTGAGTTTGAACTAATGAAGGCCTCTGTGTCCGCATTTCCTGGATCAAACTGAAAACACTGAAGTTCTCGGGAATGATCTACCAAATTAAAGGGGAAAGTATTTTATTCCTTTCAGTCCTTTGTTAATAAATTATTGTGACTTTTTCATAGTCTTGTACTTCCATGGCATCTGCTCTTCTAACATGAGATAATATCAGAAAAATAATGCATTTTTAAAACAAATGAGGTTTCTTATCACTTGCAACATGATTTAGAGCCTGGCGTTTTCCTTAGAAAAGACTAAGGAAACTCTTCAGAATCATGTCACATGGTGTAATCAAATGTCTAAATCTATATATATAATGAGGCACAGGATTCAGTAGGTGTGCAAGTGTGAGAGTTGTATAAAATAAAAGAGGTTGGTAGATAGGTCTAAAGGACATATTTTAAACTTCCCATTTCTTAGTAGACATTACAAAATGATTTATAGGTTGGAACGCAAAGTATGATTGCTGTACATCGAGTCCGTCCACTAAAGCGGTTTGGATAAAGGAAGGGTAGCTATATAATTTAAGACAGTGGCCCTCAAACTTTAGCAGGAATCACAGTCACCTGGACAGCTTGTTAGGCCCCCATCTCTAGAGATTATGATTCAATTCAATGGGGTGGGGGTCCAGTAATTTGCATGTCTAACCGGTTCTCGGGTGACGCTGATGCTTCTTGTCTGGGGACTACTCTCTAAGCCCCACCCACCTGGGAACTAATTTAATCACCTGACAGAGTGGGTCTACAAGTACATTTTCTAGAAAAGATGAATCATGAAGAAGAAAGCAGTGGAGTAAGGAAATGGGAAGTGCCTGCTGAGAGAAACTCACCCCATCTTTTAGCAACATCCATGTGTAATCAATAGCACAAATAACACCAGTCCTTCCACAGCCAGCACTGAAATGAGAGATCACAGTAGCATGTATGCATGTATACCTAGAGAGAATGGACCATTGACAGTAGCTGGAAAATTTTACCAACAGATTTGAGAAGAAGATGCCTGGGAACAATTAAACTTTCCAAACCCCACCATTTCTCAGAGCACATTTGTCATGCCACAGGTCCTAGGCAACTTCTCAGAGCAAGAGTCTCTAGAGCTGTACTACTCACAAGTAACTTATCAGAAAAAAACATGGATTTAATGCTTAGGTTGAATTTATTATCATCTGTTTCTGCTATTAGCCTTTTCCCCTTTCAGTTACAGAGTCCTGGCCAGGCTGACATTTGGTTCATTCCAGGTAGAAGGTTTATACGTAGCATCATACCTGCAGTGAATACATATGGGAACACTGTCATCCTCTTGGTAACAACGTATATCCCAGATGAGCTCAAGAATAGGGTCTATAGATGAAGGGACATCATGGTCTGGCCAATTCTTGTAATGAAACTGGTAGATAGTTCGAGTTTCCTATAAAAAATAGCCAGACAGGAGGGGAAGAGGGGCAAGGGCTGAAAAACTACCTATTGGGTACTATGCTCACTACTTGGGTGGTGGGATTATTCAGTGGTACACAGTATACCCACGTAACAAACCTGCACATGTATGCCCTTATTTCTTATATTCTAAGATTAAAGTTGAGGCTGGATGTGGTGGCTCACGCCTATAATCCTACCACTTTGGGAGGCCGAGGCAGGCAGATTACTTGAGGTAAGGAGTTCAAGACCAGTCTGGCCGACATGGGAACCCCTGTCTCTACTAAAAATACAAAAGTTAGCTGGGCATGGTGGCGCACACCTGGAGTCCCAGCTACTGGGGAGGCTGAGGCACAAGAGTTGTTTGGACCCAGGAGGCACAGGTTTCGTAAGCCAAGATTGCACCACTGCACACTCCACACCACAGCCTGGGTGACAGAGTGAGGCTCTGTCTCAAAAAAAAAAAATGTTGAAATTATTGTAAAAATAGCCAGGATAATAAGACAACTCAAGGTTAGAACTCCACCTCATTATACCAAGACATTAGTTTGACATACTAAGTTTTATCTATATCCTTTTCGAAATTTATTCCATTTTCTTTTCTATAGATCTCAGGTGACCAGATGCTTTCTGAGAACCAAAGTGATTTCAGGTCACTTACTGGTTTGTCCCCATCTGCCTCATTCACAAGAGGAGGTAGCTGGATATACAAGTCGTTCAAACCAGTGTTTCCCAACTGGTGTGCCTCAAATGTGTCACAATTATGCAGATATATTAAATCTCTTTGCCTTAGAGAAGCTGGGTAGGGCCTAGGGCAGCCCAGGCTCTCAAACTGGTTCCCAGTCTTTATGCACTGTTCAGCTTCTGTTCATCCTACAAATATTATCATTTTTTATGTGTGCCATGGCATAGAATAGATTGAAGACATATTATACCAGTGATCTCTTTTTTTATTTCTTCTTCTTTGAGACAGGGTCTTGCTCTGTCACCCAGGCTGCAGTGCAGTGGCACCATCTCAGTTCACTGCTACTTCTGCCTCTCAGGCTCAAGTGATTTCTCCTGCCTCAGCCTCCAGTGTAGCTGGGACCACAGGCACACACCATCACGCCCGGCTAATTTTTTATGTTTCTAGTAGAGACAGGTTTTTGCCATGTTGGCCAGACTCAAAGTTCTCTTGAATATAAAGACTCATTCAGGACATCAAAGACCCTACCACTCCCATTGTCTTATGCCCAGTCTGAGCCACACACATCTATATTTACTTGCCTGATCTCTACAGGCTTTTGAGTTTATCGCTTTTATTTTATACTTACATTATTGAACTTAACTTTTAGATTCCTGATGATATAATCAGATTTCCTTTTTTCAGTTTCCTAAAAAGAAAAAGAAGACTAAAATATTAGTTATTGCGAAGACAAGCTCTCTGTAAGGTAGACCCTGGAGGCTTTGCTCAGCTGTGAGAACAGACATGATACTTACACAGGATATGGAGAAAGGGCCAAATTGCAGCTGCATCTCTCCTGGCTCAGCCCAGTAGCGCTCACACTTTTTCTGTTGCACAAAGCAGAACGCAGTGATTTCCCTCCATATATTCTAGTCTCTTCTGGGAATAAAACCCACTCCCTCATTTGGAAGCAAATTCAGCTCTATGTCCTTCACCTTATGTTGGACGTGTCTAACCCCCTTGGGCTTCAACCCCTACATTATTGGGATCTCCAAAGATGGGAAAACAAATATAAAAGGATATATAAATTACAGACCTCCTGGGAGTCTGAAAAAGTAGAAATAGAAATCTTTGACCTATTTTCAGTATTTCAAAAGAACTCACAGAAATTATATGTCTACTAAAACAGCTGCACAAGCTAAGTAAAATACCTAGTAGTTTCCTTGGTTTTTTTTTTTTTTTTTTTTTTTTTGAGACGGAGTTTCGCTCTTGTTACCCAGGCTGGGGTGCAATGGCGCGATCTCGGCTCACCGCAACCTCCGCCTCCTGGGTTCAGGCAATTCTCCTGCCTCAGCCTCCTGAGTAGCTGGGATTACAGGCACGTGCCACCATGCCCAGCTAATTTTTTGTATTTTTAGTGGAGACGGGGTTTCACCATGTTGACCAGGATGGTCTCGATCTCTTGACCTCGTGATCCACCCGCCTCGGCCTCCCAAAGTGCTGGGATTACAGGCTTGAGCCACCGCGCCCGGCCTTTCCTTGGTTTTGATTAGAATTGTCAACTCAGAATGGCAACAGTAGAACAGTGATATCCAGTAAAATATAGTGTCAACCACCTATGTAATTTTATTTTTTATTTTTTTCACCTATATAATTTTAAATTTTCAAATAGATACATTCAAAAATGAAGAGATGAAATTAATTTTAATAACATATCTTAGCCCAATATATCAAAACATTTTGACATGTAACCAATATAAAATAATTATTAAATATTTGGTATTTTTTACTAAGTCTTCGAAATCCAGTGTATATTTTATATTTATAGTTAATTTCAATTAGGATGCCAAATTTTGGAAATCTTTTATTTCCATTTAGATTTAATAAAACTTACATTTGAAAAATTTTCACCTACTCAAATAGCTTTCTGCTAACTGAATTGCATGTCAATTTTAATCAATTAAAATAATTGAGTTCCCCAGTCATATTAGTGGTATTTTAAATGCTCAATAGCTGTGTGTGGCTAATGGATGTAATGTTGGACAGCACAGGATTAAAAGCTCCAGCCGGCAGTTAAAGATGTCTGATTAATAGAAATGGGCAAGTGATTTGTTAATCTTAAAAATGTATCTTGTATTTAACTTTAAAACATAGGGTTTACTGAGAAAACAAATAAAAAGGATTCTTAGAAAAAAAAAAAATCCCTTGACAGTCACGTGGCATTCCCAAACTGAAATCTAGGAAGATGGCATAAGTTGTTGCTGGTTTTTTTTTGTTTTGTTTTGTTTTGTTTGTTTGTTTTTGCTTTTTTTCTAGAAAAATGACTGAAAAAGACATAAGTTTTATCTAGGCACACTTAGGTACGTTCTGCTGCCAATTTCCCCCTCCTTTTTCTTCCTTTTTTGTTTTTAGGTCAGCAGGTACTTGAAAGTAACTTACCTTTCCCATTTCATACTCCATGCATGCCATAACAATGATCTGGGGATGAAACAGATAGAAACTTTAACATTCATATATAGTTAGAAACAGCAGTTAATACCTGGATCCCTGAAGTCAGAAAGTATTAACCATTCTTTTTCTGTTTTCTTGTGGGTTTTTTTTTGTTTTTTTTTTTTTTTTTTGAGACAGAGTCTCGCTCTGTCACCCAGGCTGGAGCACAGCAGCGCCATCTCAGCTTACTACAACCTCCACCTCCCGGGTTCAAGCAATTCTCTGCCTCAGCCTCCGGAGTAGCTGGGATTACAGGTGCCCACCACCACGCCCAGCTAATTTTTGTATTTTTAGTAGAGATGGGGTTTCACCATCTTGGCCGGGCTGGTCTTGAACTTCTGACCTTGTGATCCACTGGCCTCGGCCTCCCAAAGTGCTGGGATTACAGGCATGAGCCACCACGCCCAGCCCTGCTGTGTTTTTTTTCAACCAAAAAAGAAATCCTGGTAACTTATAAAATATTGCTCTTACTCTTCTTTCATTCTGACAATACTTTCCCTTTCTCTGTTCAAACCAGTAATTTTGTTACCAAATGAGCCTGTCAAGGTGAGAAATTTCTAAGTTTAAAATTTACTATTATTATTGTTATTATTTTGAGATGGAGTCTTGCTCTGTTGCCCAGGCTGTAGTGCAGTGGCATGATCTCAGCTCACAGCATCCTCCACCACCTGGGTTCAAGCGATTCCCCTGCTTCAGCCTCCTGAGCAGCTGGGACTACAGGCACACACCACCACACACCGCCGCCCGCCACCCCCGCCACCGCCAGCTAATTTTTTTGTATTTTTAGTAGAGACAGGGTTTCACCATGTTGGCCAGGATGGTCTCGATCTCCTGACCTTGTGATCCACCCGCCTTGGCCTCCCAAAGTGCTGGGATTACAGGTGTCATCCAATGTGCCCAGCAATTTTTATTATTTTTTAAATTTTATTTATTTATTTTTGAGACAGGATCTCACTCTGTCACCCAGGCTGGAGTGCTGTGGCTCAATCTAAGCTCACTACAGTCTCAATTTCATGGGCTCAAGCAATCCTCCCACCTCAGCTTCCCAAGTAGCTGGGACTACAGGTGCACACCGTCATTCCCAGCTAATTTTTACTTTTTTTTGTAGAGCCGGGGTTTTGCCATGTTGCCCAGGCTGTCTAGAACTCCTAGGCTCAAGCTATCCGCCCACGTTGGCCTCCCAGAGTATACCTGGCCTAGAACTTTTATTTCCTTGGACAAGAATGGCATTGTGATTCTGACTAAAAGACGCCTGAACCCTGAAGTTCCACTGACCATTTTTTTAAAAACACTGGTTTTTTGTTTGTTTGTTTGTTTGTTTGTTTTGAGACGGAGTTTCGCTCTTGTTACCCAGGCTGGAGTGCAATGGCGCGATCTCGGCTCACCGCAACCTCCGCCTCCTGGGTTCAGGCAATTCTCCTGCCTCAGCCTCCTGAGTAGCTGGGATTACAGGCACACGCCACCATGCCCAGCTGAATTTTTGTATTTTTAGTAGAGACGGGGTTTCACCATGTTGACCAGGATGGTCTCGATCTCTTGACCTCGTGATCCACCCGCCGCGGCCTCCCAAAGTGCTGGGATTACAGGCTTGAGCCACCGCACCCGGCCAAAACACTGTTTTCAATAAAATAGAGAATAAAGTAACAAAAGCAACGCTACACTTACCAGGACGCTGTATTCCCAAATCATCCTCCAGAAGTCCAGGAGAGTTGTAGATAAAGGACCTTGGGTGGCAATATAAGCCTTGGGTCCATAAACTCCCTATAGGGGAACAAAAATTACATGGGGTGACCACAAAGAGTATCCTGTTCTCACCTAGTCCTCCTGTTCCTTTTTTTTGAGGTGTCCTCACTGTGTTACCCAGGCTGGAGTGCAGTAACATAATCACAGCTCACTGCAGTCTTGACTTCCTGCCCTTAAGCAATGCTCTTACCTCAGCCTCTTCGGTAGCTGGGACTACAAGCACATATTACCACATCTGGCTAGTTTTATTGTTTTTTTTGTTTTTGAGATGGAGTCTTGCTCTGTCACCCAGGCTTGAGTGCAATTGTGCAATCTCAGCTCACTGCAACCTTCGCCTCTCAGGTTCAAGCGATTCTCCTGCCTCAGCCTCCCGAGTAGCTCAGATTGCAGGCATATGTCACCATGCCCAGCTAATTTTTGTATTTTTAGTAGAGGTGGGGTTTCACCATGTTGGCCAGGCTGGTCTCGAACTCCTGACTTTAAGCAGTCCGCCCGCCTCAGCCTCCCAAAGTGCTGGGGTTACAGGCGTGAGCCAGTGAGCCCGGCCAATTTTTAAACTTTTTGTCAAGATGGGGTCTCATATGTTGCCCAGGCTGGTCTCAAACGTTTAGGCTCAAATGATCTCCCCTGAGATAGCGGGGGGAGAGATGCCAGATGTAGGTGATGGGGAAGGCAGCAAATCACACTGCCACGTGTGTACCTATGCAACAATCTTGCATGTTCTTCACATGTACCCCAAAACCTAAAATGCAATAAAATAAGTAAATGGGAAAAAAATGATCTCCCCTTTTTTTAGGTATCTAAAGAAATGTGGAATGCTTTTATTTTCTTTCACTGTACCTTAATGAAGTTGGCATTGATGTAGCTGGAATCCTCATCAGAAGTTATCAGGGATAGTTCTACCCGGCTATAATCATCTATAATAAAAAAGAAAGACATAGTACAATTAAGAAGGCTTAGTCAGCAGATTTAAATCAGAGCCTAACACTGTGAATAGCGTATGCTCATGAGTGAACAAGTGCATGAATGAATGAATATTCTTTTGCAGTCATGAATAGTACAAATTAAGTTGTCAATGCCATGTTCCAAGATCAGGATCAGTAAGCAATGAATAAAAAAAGATTTGCTTTGTAGAGAAAGTGGTAAAATGAAATATAGATCCATAACATATAATATATTGGCCAATGAGAAGTAATGTATAAGTCTAGGAAACACATTTACTTGAACGCCCTAGAAGAAATTGCCCTGAAATGTGTGGATATAGTAGCCCATTCTGAGTCTTTTGCTGGTGGCAGCCACTAAAGAAGAAATTGATATAATTTGTAACCAAAAGTATATGAATATATTTAAAAAACTGTTTTGTGAACTGTTTGAAATACATTAGAAGTTAAAAGCAATCTCATTCATACACATATACCTACACCTGAAGAGATGTCTTATTTTAAAACCCCAATATTTCCATTCTAGAAATGCCAGATAACTCAAAGTATCAATGTTAATTCTGTGGTTTGAAGGTAATAAGCTCTGTGACAGGAAATTAAAATTTTATTCACAAAAAAAAAAAAAAAGAGAGATAGTAATGATTGAGTTTGGGAGACAGTATGAGTTTATAGAAAGAAATGGAACTTACAGGGCAAAATATCCTTATATCTGTTTTTCTTGATGTTCTCGGGCTTCTCCGCCACAGTTGTAGGATAGGTTTTGTCTGCCTTGTATTTGGTAGATTGCCTTTTCAGCTTCTGTAATAAGATTCCAAGAATAATTAATCTTCGTAGAGAAATAATCTCTAAAGTGCTTTTCTTTTCCACTGCCCAAACATTCTACCTCAACCCTTTTATTATCTTCTGGGGCTTACTCCATTCAGGACAGAGCTGCAGAGAATAAGGAGAACAGAGTTCAGTGACATTTGGAGAAGTGAAAAGATCACACTTACTTCAGCTGAGCCACCGATAGTCACAGACAGAACTTAAAGGTGAAACTTGTGACTATTTTAAGAACCAGATATCTTCTGAAAGCAAAGTATATGCTCCACTCAAAGGGCAGATATTAAAAGCTTAATTTACTTTCTTTATACCTACTTTTTAGTTAAATGGTCAACTGGAAAATTAAGTTCCATTAGTCTTTTTACTTCAGATCACTTTCTTTTCCTAAGTGGAAGTGGAGCTTAAGCTGAATAAAATCTCTCTATATAGCCAAATTTCAAAGATCTCAGTTCCAAAAATCAGTCACTTTTTTTTTTTTTTGAGATAGAGTTTCACTTCATCACCCAAGCTGGAGTGCAGTGGCTCGATCACAGCTCACTGCAGCCTCAATTTTCCGGGCTCAAGTGATTCTCCCACATCAACCTCACCTCCCACCTCAGCCTCACCTCCTGAAAGCTGGGACCACAGGCATGAGCGTCATGCCCAGATAGTTTTTGTATTTTCAGTAGAGAAGGGATTTCACCATGTTGCCCAGGCTGGTCTCAAACTCCTGGGCTCAAGCAATCTGCCTTCCTTGGTCCCACATAACTTTTATTACAGTATATTATCATAATTATTCTACTGTATTATTAGCTATTATTGCTAATCTCTTGTACATAATTTATAAATTGACCTTTATTATAGATATGTATGTATAGGTAAAAACAACATAGTATACATAAGATTTGGTACTATCTACTGTAGGTCTTCCAACACATCCCCCATAGATAAAGAGAGCCTACTGTAGTTTGAATTCCTCTGGATTTTCAGAATTGGATTTGAGAGGAGAGACACTGAACTGATATCTTTTGTTTGTTTGTTTTTTTGCTTTAACTTGAACCCCAAGAAGCTACTAAACTATCTTTATAGCATATTTTTACTTCAAGATGGGTATGGATACCAGTGGACTAATTTGGGAATTTAAGGACACGTGAAAGGCTATGTTGAATTTCTGCTGAAATTACACCAATGTGTCCGCTCTCCCTGCTCTTAAGAAACCCCAGAATGATCATCTTCAGGCTGCTGTTGATCCCAGGGCTGCTGAAAAGATCTCAAGTCCCAGAACAGTTTCTTCTAGAAATCTCCAGAACTAAGCTCAGTGCATACTCCTTGTTATATTGTTTTAATTTATTTTTGTTTTGTTTTGCTTGTGGAGTGCTTTCTAGGGAGAATGCTACGCACAAAGCCCTTTGCATAAGTATGCTTCAATTAATTTGGCAAAATGTCATAGATAAAGGTGACGTGTTTGCGTGTATGTGTGTCCTATATTTGTTTAGCTGCCTTCACCGCCACCTTCAACAATGAGGCAGAAGAATGGCTTTCATTTTTGCTACTCCTTTCCTCCCCCTGGAGTAATCTGGCTGGATGACAAAGGGAAACACTCTTAGCAAAACATCACACAGGAAATGCCTGCAGAATTGTTAATTTGTAATGTATGAAAGATTTGATTTTTTTCCCCTCAAACATCCTATCTTAAGGTCATACCACTGTGAAGGTTCCGTTTTCTTTCTTTCTTTTTTTAAAATTGAGATTGAGTCTCGCTGTATCACTCAGGCTGGAGTGCAGTGGTGTGATCTTGACTCACGGCAACCTCTGCCGCCCAGGTTCAAGCAATTCTTATGCCTCAGCCTCCCAAGTAGTTGGGACTACAGGCACCTGCCACCACACCCAGCTAATTTTTTTTTGTATTTTTAGTAGAAAAGGGGTTTTGCCATGTTGGCCAGACTGGTCTCGAACTCCTGACCTCAAGTGATCTGCCACATTGGCCTCCCAAAGTGTTGGGATTACAGGCGTGAGCCATGGCTCCCAGCTGGCTTCCTTTTTCTCTTCCACCCCTCTTCTTGCCAGACCCCTGGGCTCTAATACCCCAACAAAGAACAAATTAGGACAGAATTAGGGCAGAAGAAGTGATAAACTACACCAGAACAGGAGGAACTCTGAGAGTAGAAAGCAAAAGGGTATAAAAGAGAAAGCAGGGTCATGGGGATGGGTTTAAGTTTGGGAAGAAAAGATATGAGATCTAAAGGGTGAAGGTATTTCTCTGCCAACTACAAGGTAGAGGGTATGAGTTCCCTAGAGGAGGTACCATCAAGAGCAATCAGGGGAATAGTCGTCAAGAGAATAAAGTGAAGAGGCTGGGTGCAGTGGCTCATGCCTGTAATACCAGCACTTTGGGAAGCTGAGGCGGGCAGATCATGAGGTCAGGAGTTCAAGACCAGCCTGGCCAACATAATGAAACCCCATCTCTACTAAAAATACAAAAAAATTAGGCAGGCATGGTGGTGGGCACCTGTAATCCCAGATACTCCAGAGGCTGAGGCATGGAGAATCACTCGAAACTGGGAGGCGGAGGTTGTAGTGAGCCGAGATAGCACTACTGCACTCCAGCCCGGGCGACAGTGTAAGACCCTGTCTCAAAAAAAGAATAAAAAGAGCTCAGCATCCCTCAAGAGCCCTGAAATGGGGTGGAATGTGTAAGAAACCAGATTCTGTGTGTGCTTGATAAGTTAATAGTAAGTTCATTTGGTTTGTAGATGATACTACCCCTTTCCTTTCAAGACAGGAGAGGAGAACGGGGGTCCTGGCCAGCATAACAAGGAGTATTAGACTCTAGAAATCCGGACCGAGTCATTGCATGTGATTCTCATAGACTAGTAAATAAATGCACTCTCAAAAAAGAACAGAAAATAAAAGGAAAGCACAAGACCAGATAGATATCTTTGCCTTGAAGGACTACATTACTGGATATAAGACATAGCATTTTAGAGACATTTTAGAGAGAGGAAAATCAAAGTTGGCCCTCCTGTGCTAGATGGGAGAGGACAAAGTTTGGCTGTCTCCAGAACTCTGCAAGGTAGTTCCTCTGTGCCTTGCAAATATAGGTCAGTATTATGCCAAGCCTCCACCAGGACAGAAAAAGTACGAGTGGTAAGGAATGGCCATTAGGAGCTCAGGCCTCTGAATCCAGTAGACAAGAGTACTACCAGTAGGAATGGAGGACAAGACTTAATTGTCTGAGCCTGCAATGCAATCATCTTCAACAAGGCAGGCAGATTTATTGAGGTTAGTTTCCAGTGCAATAGTGGGGCAAATGGGTAGGTGGGAGGCAATAGCTAAACTAGGGTGAGTAAACCAAGAGGTTCAACTTTAGATACATAAAATATGAGCAAATGGCAAGAAATGTGTTTGTTTGTTTCTGAGATGGAGTCTTGCTCTGTCTCCCAGCAGCGACAGCAGTGTTGCAATCTTGGCTCAGTGCAACCACTGCCTTCCAGGTTCAAGTGATGCTCACACCTCAGCCTCCCAAGTATCTAGGATTACAGGCGCCTGCCACCATGCCTGGCTAATTTTTGTATTTTTAGTAGAGACGGGGTTTCACCATGTTGGCCAGTCTGGTCTTGAACTCTTGACCTCAAGTGATCCGCCTGTCTCAAAGTGCAGGAGTTGCAGGTGTGACCCACTGCACTCGGCTAAGAAATGTGTTTTAAGTGTCCTGTGAGTAAATGAAATGTAGGACTACATAACCCCTAGTGAGAGGCTGGAGATGGAGTTAGAGAAATCAGCTTCAGAGGAGATGTGATACATTTATTCTGGTGGTGGCATTTTTTAAAATTGCACCTTAATGTACACAAAGGTCAAGAAATGCTGATAAATATGTTCAAGTGATAGGCTGATTCGCAGGAACCAGTAGTAAACATCAGAGATGTTTGTGCACTTGATCTGTAGGATGTACTATGTTTATAACTGGTTAGTGTTGTTACTGTAATACATACAGAACAAGGGTGCATCTATGTCTCCTTTATAGAACCAAGATGTAGCCAGGTCTTTGATCTGTCTCAGATTTTCTTTTTTTTTTTTTTTTTTTGAGACGGAGTTTCACTCTTGTTACCCAGGCTGGAGTGCAATGGCGCGATCTCGGCTCACCGCAACCTCCGCCTCCTGGGTTCAGGCAATTCTCCTGCCTCAGCCTCCTGAGTAGCTGGGATTACAGGCACGCACCACCATGCCCAGCTAATGTTTTGTATTTTTAGTAGAGACGGGGTTTCACCATGTTGACCAGGATGGTCTCGATCTCTTGACCTCGTGATCCACCCACCTCGGCCTCCCAAAGTGCTGGGATTACAGGCTTGAGCCACCGCGCCCGGCCCTGTCTCAGATTTTCTAATGAGTCTCCAGAAGTTGCTACAGTATCAGTCTGACTTCTGGTATATTTTAAACCTTTAGCACTTAAACCTGGCTTTCAGAAATAGGTATCTTCTTTCTATTAGGATTCAGTGAATGCTTCATATTCAATAATTGTCTTTTTTTTTTTTTTTTTTTTGAGATGGGGTCTCACTCTGTCACCCAGGCTGGAGTGCAGTGGCGCGATCTTGGCTTACTGCAACCTACCACTGCCTGCAATCCTAGCTACTTGGGAGGCTGAGGCAAAAGAATCTCTTGAACCTGGGAGGCAGAGGTTGCAGTGAGCTGAGATTGCACCATTGTACTCTGGCCTGGACAAAAAGAGTGAAACTCCGTCAAAAAAAAACAAACAAACTGAAATTGTGGCAAGTGCTGTGAGAAATAACAGACAGTGCTAGTAAGAACTTATAATGGAAGAATTAATCTATTCAAAGAGGTCCAGAAAGCTTTCTCTGGCCAGGTGTGGTGGCTCATGGTTATAATCTCAGTACTTTGGGAGGCTGAGCCTGCAGGATCAGCCGAGAGGCTGGAGGATCACTTGAGTCCAGGAAGTCAAGTCTGCAATGAGCTATGATCAAGCCACGGCACTCCAGCCT